CGGCAGAAGATGGCCCAAGTGCTTGGGCCCTGCACCCATGTGGGAGGCCTGGATGAAGCTCCTGGATCCTAACTTCAGCCAGGCCGAGCCCTAGCCATTGTGGCCATGTGGGTAGTGAACCAGTGGATGGAAGATCCATCCCTCTCTCTCTAACTCAGCTTTTCAAATAAATACATACATATTAAAAAGAAAACCCCAACAAACACACAAACCAACCTCACACTTTATTTTACAGCAGATATAGCATAGCACAGCCTATGCTAAAACAAGGGAGGGGCTGATAACCACCACCTCTGGATGAGGAAACCCCTATGTAAATTAGTTGCAATTCTTCTGTAAAGATTGGTCTCTTCTCCCCTATTTCTTATTCACTCATTCGATTACCTGTATAGCACGGTCTCATGGATATTTATTCCACACTTTGTTACTCACTTTGTTGCTCCCATATTTTCAGTTTCGGTGGCTGGACGCCCTTTCAGGCTGGCTTTTGTGTCCCTGTGATGTGCCCACACCCTTTTCTAAGAAGCTCCAGGGTCATCCTGTGTCCTCTCTGCCCAGCCCTAGAACCAGCCATTTCTCCCAGGAGTTCTGGTTCCTTTTACCGGAGGATGGCCTTGGGCACCGAGGTGGAAGCAAGAGGCTGTTCACTGCCACTGGGGTCTCCCTGCCTTCAGGGCTCCAAGCAGACAGAGGAGGGAAATGCACCTATGGATTCCAAACCATGGGTCACATGGATTCATCCATGTGAGGGGAAACATGGATTCCCACTGCTGCTTCTGACTCACTGGTACAGACGAGTATAGATCTGTACAGATCTGCTGATCCAGAATGTTCCTCTGACAGGGACAAGGCTAGCTCCGCCCACTGACCATCCATTGTCTGTAGCATGTTTTCTTTCCATGTGACCTGGAGTTCAGTGGTCAGGCGATGTCACTGTTCTGCAGCCTCATGGTTTCAGTCAAGACACTTTTCCAGAGTTTCCAGGTCAACCCGTCTCTGTAGCTCCCTTCAGCAAGGTCACTTCACATTCGCAGCACGGCTAGGTCGCTTTGTCACCATCTGGGGTGCTCCATCATCCTGGCTGACATCTTTAAAAATTGCATAATGCTCACTCTTTATGCCAGGAAGGGCCGTGGGCTTTGGTGAGTGCACAGCACCACAGCCCAGGCTCCAGAGTCACACAGAATAAGGACACCATCTAAAAATTCACTGGGGCTTCCCCATTGTAAGCACACACTGCTCACGCCCAGTCCCCAGCACACCGTGATCCGTTGTTCATCCCCAGAGTTTTAATGAATGAATGAAATCTTGAAACGTGCGGCCTTTTTCTACCTTCGTAGCGTAATTCAGTTAGGATTCCTCCATATTGTGTGACTCAATAGCTCAGTCCCTGTGATCATGAAATCCTATTCAGCTGCAGCCCAGTGTGTACTCACCCTCCTGTTGAAGGATATTTTCATTGTTTCCAGGTTTTGATGACTATGCAATAAACACAACAGCCGGAGCTGCACCAATCCGAAGCTAGCAGCCAGAAGCTAGGAGCCAGGAGCCAGGAGCCAGGAGCTTCTTCAGGGTATCCCATGCGGGTGCAGGGGCCCAAGGACTTGGGCCATCTTCCACTGCTTTCCCAGGCCATAGCAGACAGCTGGATCCGAAGTGGAGCAGCTGAAACTTGAACCAGTGCCCATAGGGGATGCCGGCACTGTAGGCAGTGCCTTTACCTGCTATACTACAGTACCGGTCCCACATTTAACATTTAAAAAAAAAATTTTTTTAATTTAAATTTGAATTTTTTAAAATTATTTTTTAAAAAGATTTATGGCCGGCGCCGCGGCTCAATAGGCTAATCCTCCGCCTAGCAGCGCCGGCACACCGGGTTCTAGTCCCGGTCGGGGCGCCGGATTCTGTCCCGGTTGCCCCTCTTCCAGGCCAGCCCTCTGCTATGGCCAGGGAGTGCAGTGGAGGATGGCCCAGGTGCTTGGGCCCTGCACCCCATGGGAGACCAGGAAAAGCACCTGGCTCCTGGCTCCTGCCATCGGATCAGCGCGGTGCGCCGGCCGCAGCATGCTGGCCGCGGCGGCCATTGGAGGGTGAACCAACGGCAAAGGAAGACCTTTCTCTCTGTCTCTTTCTCTCACTGTCCACTCTGCCTGTCAAAAATAAAAAAAAATAAATAAAAAAGATTTATTTATTCATCTATTTTGAAAGTCAGAGTTACAGGGCAGGGGGTGAGGAGAATCGTCAATCCACTGGTTCACTCCCCAGATGTCCACAAAAGTTTGGGCTGGGCCAGGCTGAAGTCAGGAGTCAGGAGCCAGGAGCTTCATCTGGGTCTCCCACATGGATGCAGCAGCCCAAGGACTTGGGCCATCTTCTGCTCCTTTCCCAGGCACCGTAGCAGAGAGCTGGATTGGAAGTGGAGCAGCCAGGACTGGAACAGGTACCTATATGCGGTGCCGGTGCTGCAGGCAGCAGTTCAACCCACTTCACCATAGTGCCAGCCCCTGATTTGTCTTTTAGTTCTCTTACTAAATCTTTTTCGCAGAGCAAATAGTTCACTTTTGATCAAGTCAGATTTACCCAGTTTTCTTTCACAGATCTTGCTTTTGAAAGTCTAAAAATTCATGGCATCAAAGGTCACGTGGATTTCCTGTTTTCTTCCAGAAGTTCTACAGTTAGACTTGATCCATTTTGAGTTAACCTCTGGGCAAGGTGTGGAGTCTTTTTGGCAGATAGACATCCAGCTGTTCAGCACTAATTGCTGAAAAGACTGTCTTCTTTCCATTGAATACCACGGCACTTTCGTTTAGAATCGGTTGATGTGCTGGGGTCCACTTGTGGAGTGTTTCGCTCCTTTCTAGGGATCATACTTCCCAGGCACCGGGAGGCGGCCTTCTCACCACTGAGGGTCGCGGCAGGAACGCTGCCTGCTCATGAGGTCTTTGCTGGCCTCCTACTTAAATTGGTTTTCCTTCCCTTGTTCCCATTCTGTCAGCTCTTCCTGCAATCACAGAACTTACTACAACCTGGAATTATCTTTTTTTTTTTTTTTTTGACAGGCAGAGTGGACAGTGAGAGAAAGAGACAGAGAGAAAGGTCTTCCTTTGCCGTTGGTTCACCCCCAGTGGCCGCTGCAGCCGGCACAATGCGGCCAGTGCACCGTGCTGATCCAAAGCCAGGAGCCAGGTGCTTCTCCTGGTCTCCCATGGGGGTGCAGGGCCCAAGCACTTGGGCCATCCTCCACTGCACTCCCGGGCCACAGCAGAGAGCTGGATTGGAAGAGGAGCAACCGGGACTAGAACCCAGGGTGCCAGCGCTGCAGGCGGAGGATTAGCCTAGTGAGCCACAGCTCCGGCCTGGAATTATCTTCTTAAACACAGTATGCTCACACAGTGAGACAGCTATGCCCTCAGTGTGTGGGATGGCGTGGTGGGATAGCAACAATACAGTTATCTTCGTAAGATATTCATTCACTTTTGTTGTAAAAATCATTATAAAACTTGGCTCCTCGACAGCTTCTGAACGCGCAGTTCGGTGGTGTTCGGTGGGCTCACCCAGTGTCAAGCTGACCTCCGCCACAGCTGCACCCCGCAGGACTGAGCCTGCCCCCCCAGCTCAGCCTCTAGAAACTGCCACTCTGCTTCGAAGCCACAGTTAAGAATCTTCCTACTTCAGGCACATCACACAGTGAAGTCACAGTATCATACAAAGCCTGTGCTTTTGTGGCTCAGCTCTCGTTTTCGCCTTTACACTGAATTATTTTACCCGAGTGTGCAGCTGGTACGGGTGGAGGCCCTAGGCAGCCCTTCCACTGTTCCAGCTCGGGTCACACTCACCCCGTTTCTGTGTACTGATCTTGTATCTTGAAGACTCGTTTCCGAACTTTAATAACTTTTGTGCGGGAGTATTCTTTGGTGTATTCCACATACAAGGTCAGGTTATCCGAGGAGAAACAGTCGGCTTTCACTCCTTCCCAAGCCGGATGCCTTTTCTGTCTCTTACCTATCGGGCGCTGGAGCCTTCGGTGCAGTGGGGCCGCAGTGGCAGGTGCAAACTTGTGCCCCCCCCCCCCCCGCCCCGGGCTTAGGGGAATGTCGGCTCTCACTGTGAGGACGACGGGGCTGTGGCGGTTCTGCAGACGTTCTCCACCCTAGTTTGGGAGTGCTTTCTCAGGAAGGTGTTTGGATGCTATCAAATGCTTTTTCTTTGTTGAGTTGATTACACATGCTTTCCCCCTTCTGAAAAGTCTGCTTTTAAAATGTTTCTATTAACATGCAGTGCTTGCACTTTTTTGTGGCACTTAGTGCAATATTTCAATACCTTTACATAATGTGAACCTATCATACCAGGCACCCAGACGCTCCGCGGGGGGCTGGGAGGGCACCGGTCTCGCTGCTGCTGTAGGGACCCGCGGTGCGGGCGCCTCTCTCACCTCTCTCCCTGGACACGCACCGGCCAGAGCTGCAGGCAGTCACGCGACAGGTGTTTCCAGCGTCTTGAGGAACCCGCACGCGGAACGGTCTGAATCGTGGGCTCCCACCGGGGCCCCCAGCCGCTCCTCCACCTCGACAGAGCTTGGCGTTCCCTGCGCTCCTTCGCGGGCACGCGCACGTACACTACACCAGAGCTCTCCGCGAGGCCCCGGGGCGAGGCCTCCCTCCCCGGGTCGCTGCGGCAAAGCCTCCAGGCCCCCTTAGACGCTCACGGAGAACGCGCATTCCTCTGTGGGCCTCGGTCGCTGGCCGCGCTCCGCGCGCCGGCATGGGCGAGGGGGCCTAGCTGCCGAAGCTCGGGTGACGTCGGCGTCCGAGATTTTGATGGGCATCGCCCATAGCCCGCAAGGCCCCCGGGGTCCAGGGCCCGGCACGCACCCGGGCTCCGCACGTCCAAAACCTGCTTCTGCGTGGCTCCGGGGCGGCTCAGGGCGCGGGACCGGCGAGGCGCGGGTGCGGCCAGGCAGGGGGCGGGTACGGCTGAGCTCCGCCCCGAGCCCGCCCCCGCCGGCCGCGCGGAGCACGTGGGCCGGTGGGCGGTGCTGCGCCACCGATTTATTCCGGTGTTGCGGGGCGGGAGCAGCGCCCGCGCCCGGCAGCATGCAGGACCTCCGTCTGTGGGCCGCGCTGTGCGGCGCGCTGCTGTGCGCCTCGGGAGTGCTGGCCGCCTCGGGTGAGTCCGCGCCGCCTCTGTGCGGGGAGCCCCTTGGTACCGGGAGCCGCCTGCCTCCGTGCGGGTAGCCGCGGGGCTCTGCGCCCGGGCGTCGGGGCGCGCGTGGACGCGGGACACGGGCGGCATCCCCGCCGCCCACAGGACGTGGCTGACACGTGACACAGGAATGCGCTGCGTGGCCTCTTTGCCGTCCGTGCGGCGAGGCCCCTGGCCGCGCGCTCCCTGCAGCCTCACCCCGGGGACTCTGGGCTCCTGTGCTCAGGGCCCCGCCCCTGCTGGCTGTGGAAACTTCCCCGCACTTTCGCGCCCCCGCTTGTCCCGTTTGCGCTGGGGTCCCGGAGGCCCGGCAGGCGGGGCGGGGCTGGGAAGAGGGCCGCCTCCTGGGCCCCGGGCCGCGGCCTTGGCCGGCTGCCGCGTCCGGCGGATCCTCCTCCCCCGCCTGGAGCCCTGAGGACAGCTGGGCCCCAGCGGGCTGGTCCTGGGATGCCCCACCCCGATGGAGCCCTGGAAAACGGGGACTGTCGGAGTACCCCCGGCCCCTCGTTTTCCATAGAGGCGGAATTGACAGAAGCGGGAAGTCTGCTGCTGCGCCTGGCCTCGCGTCCTTGCATTGCTGTGACCCGGGGCTGGAGCTGAGACCTTCAGGGTGCCCCGGGCCCCCACTCGAGTCCCTTCCACTCCTTCCCGCCCTCCCACCCGGAGCCTTCGGGAACATACCGGGGCGGGTCTTCCGGGCTGGCGGGTTCGGGGTGGCCCGGCTTTCGCAGAAATGCGGGTGCAGGCGGGGTCAGGGGAGGACTCCCCCCCCCCCCGCCCCGTTTCCTTTGGAAGCAGTAAAGCGAGAGGAGAGGGTCGGTGCTGGGACAGGATCCCAGGCCTCTGGCCACTGCAGAGCCCCTGACCGCACAGTGCCTGTCGCCTGCCAGCTTGGGGGATGGATTAACTGGCTATTTAGAGCCACTGACCACAGCCCTCGGGAGCAGCCTTAAGCTCCCCAGGCCCCGCTAAGGCGGCGCTCCAGGGCCGGTTCCCCTTGGTGGTGACCATGGTCCGGCCCTGGGTCTCTCTCGGGCCTTGGGAGCCTGGGGTGGAGCACTGAAGGCAGGAAAATGTTTTCTCACGTTTTACCCCAAATGATGGGCTTGGGTGTGGGGTCTGGGGCAGCTCTTTGGGGTTTCTGAGGTCAGCTGGAGGAGCCTCCTGGGCCTGGCAGCCCCAGTGGACTGCAGTTTGCTCGGTGGCCTGGGGACAGGCTGAGTGCAGAGCCTGGATGTGGGGATGGGTGCAGGATTTGAGGCCGCTGGGTGCCAGGTACAGTCCTTCAGATGCAAACCCAAGTGCCCTTGACCGCAGCCTGCACCTGCTCCTCCTGTATTCTCCTTTGCAGCTGGCTGTGCACTTCTGCCCCCCAGGCCTCCAGCACAGCTGCCTGCCGCCTCTTCATGGTGTACCCCGTGTACCTCAGGTCCAGTCTGGGACACCCCTGTGCCTGGGGGTCCTGTCTGCAGCTCCGGACACGCCCCTTTACCTCCTTTCCAGAATTGTACTGGGCTTCCCACCTCCCACCGCACACCTGGATTCTCTGTGTCTTCTCCGGGCTGCACGGTGCCGGGGAAGCTTGTCTCTCTCTCTTTTTTTAAAGGTTTATTTTCATTATTTGAAAGACAGAGTTACAGAGAGAGGTGGAGACAGAGAGAGAGGTCTTCCATCTGCTGGTTCACTCCCCAGACGGCCGCAATGGCCAGAGCTGTGCCGATCCAAAGCCAGGAGCTTCTTCCTGGTCTCCCACGTGGGTGCAGGAGCCCAAGGACTTGGGCCATCTTCTTGTTGCTTTCCCAGGCCATACCAGAGAGCTGGATCAGAAGTGGAGCAGCCAGGACTTGAACCGACGCCCGTATGGGATGCCAGCGCTTCAGGCCAGGGCTTAACCCACTGTGCCACAGCGCCAGCCCCAGAAGCTTGTCTCGTTTTAGGGGCTCCCAGACGGACTCCTGACTCCCCATCCGGCCAGTGTCCTGCAGCAGGCTCCTGCTTTTTCAGAGTGCTGTGCTGCCTTTCAGATGAGCTCAGACGGTCCCTCCCCTGTGAAACACCCACCTCCAGGGGTGCTCAGTGCGGCTCTGCTAAAGCTTGTGCTGGGCTGGTGCCTCTTGTCACCTGTCAGCTTCCCACCCCTTTCCCAGTAGTCCTGGGCTCCGTGGGGTCCTGAGGCAGGGCTGCTCTTGCAGGTGACTTCTGTGACTCCAGCCAGTGCCTCAACGGTGGAACCTGCTTGATGGGCCAGGATGCTGCCCCCTTCTTCTGCCTCTGCCCTGAAGGCTTCACTGGCCTCGTGTGCAACGAGACGGAGGAAGGTACCTGCCCTGGGCTGTGCCCGCTGCTCTTGACCCCCAGCCTCCAGCTTCTCTCATGGGCAGCAGTCCCCAGTTTTTTACCTGGGGTGCCCCGAGTCACCTACTCGTGACTGGCCCAGGCTCCATTTGGCAGGTTGGGGGAGGGGAGGGCACGGATGGGAGAGAGAGTGGGCTGAGTCGGGGGAAGGGTTCTTTTGGGCTGGGCCCATCTGCTGCCTCCTGTGTCTGTCTGCAACTCCTTCCTGATCACCTATCCATCTTGTCTGTCTCCGTGTTGCCAGGTCCCTGTTCCCCAAACCCCTGCTACAACAATGCTGAATGCCAGGTGGTTGGTGACGCTCACCGAGGGGATGTCTTCACCCACTATATCTGCGAGTGCCCTCAGGGCTACATGGGCACCCACTGTGAAACCAGTGAGTATGGGGTGGGGGTGTGGCCGTGTGCTGGCCTCTCCTGTGTCAAGGCTGCCTCTGGGGACACTGAGCAAAGGACGGAGCCTCTTCAGGCACGGGGCAGAGGTCCTGTCGTCCCTTCCCAGGCTTCGTTCCATCCGCGTCTCTCCTGGGACTGTGGGGGAAGGAAGGGCTTGGTGACCCTAGAGGTCGTGGGAGTGCTCTTTTCTGAGTTCCGTCGTGGGAGTGCTCTTTTCTGAGTTCCATCAACCAGGCACAGCATCAGGGTTAGGTCTGGGGACTTTTCTACTAGGAGTTGTTAATCTCTCGGGGCCCGAGAGCTCAGTGAGTCAGGCTGACCTCAGGGCCCATGACCGACCGTGGCTTCCTCGCAGCTGCAGAGGGCTGCGTGATGGTGGAGGAAGAGGCCCAGGCAGCCGAGGCCATGTTCGCTCGTGTACAGTCAGAGGCCTGGAGGGCGCAGGGGCACTGACCTGCCTGACCTGTTTGGGTATTTACTCAGTGGCCCTTGGTGGGTGCCCAGGAGACCTTGCCAGCAGTGATTCTCCGTGCCGCCCCCCATCCTGGCCCAGCTGGAACCCCTCCGCCCTCTCCCCAGCCCTAGTAGGGCTCTTCCTCTGCTGCCTGCGGCGTGGAGATGGGTGTGGGGCCCCCAGTTTCTTCAGGTCAGTGGCTGTGTCGCTGAGCACTGTGGGTAGGGGCAGGTGGCTTTGTACCCTCCTTGGAGTAGATACAGGGAATGCCTCTGAGATGTGCTGACCGCCAGGAAGGGGCAGGGAGGGCTGGGACCACCGAGTGGGAGCTGGGCCCTGGGAGGAGCATACCGTGGTTGCAGGGCTGAGGTTGTGAGTGTAGGGGTTGTGGGGGTGGAGGCTAAGGCAGACAGAGCCCAGGGTGGGGCCAGCTGAGCCCACTAATTACCGTGCTGAGGTAGCCGTGGGTGTGTCACAGTTGGAATTGCGTGCCTAGTCTCCCAGCTTCTTGGCCTGGGGTCTGCCCCAGGATGGACAGACAGGGCAGCGCCTGGAGCAGAACGTAGGGGGTGACCACACATTCAGGGGGACAGCTCTCCTTGTTCATTCTGTTTGTTTCCATGGAGTCAGTAGGGACCCCAGTAGCCCCAGGAGTGCACACTGGGGTCCCTCAGGGTAGCACGTGAGGAGAGTTGGAGAGGCAGAGCTGGAGTTGCGCCTGGGTTAGCCACGGCTTGCTCTGTGCCTCCCTGCTCTCTTCCTACGAGAAGGGGATGGTGCTGAGCTCAGCTGGAGCCTGGGGTGTTGGAGAGAGACTGGGTGTATCCCTGGGTTCTGTGTGACAGTTGGAAAGCCCGGGCATACACCGTGAGTGTCCCTAGAATGAGAGAGGCTGCTGGGTCAGGACCCACAGGTGGAAGAGGCAAAGGGGTGTGAGGAAAAGTGAAATGGCGTTCACACCCATCGCACGTGTGTGTGGCCTGTGTGTGTGTATGTTCACACGCATCGTGTGTTTGTTGTGCATGTTCACATGCATCGTGTGTGTGTGTGGCCTTGTGTGTTGTGTACATTCACACATATCACGTGTGTGTTGTGCATGTTCACACCCATCATGTGTGTATGACCTTGTGTGTTGTGCACACACTGCTCACGCTGTTCGAGGGACACCCTTTTTCCCCAAAGCCCTTCTTGACGGTCCTCCCCTGTATGCTAGCACAGCTGCTGGGTGCCCTACAAGAGCGACACCGCCTACCGGCACGTCCCTCCATGGTCCCTGCTGTGTACGAGGTTCTGAGTGCTGTCCTACTGTCTTCTCCTCTGGTCCTCACTGGACCCTGGGACCTGCTTGGATGGCCACCTGACTGCCGTCTCCCTCTGCTCAGGGTGCGCCAAGCCACTGGGCATGGAGGGCGGTGCCATCGCCGACTCGCAGCTCTCTGCTTCATCGGTGCACTTGGGCTTCCTGGGTTTGCAGCGCTGGGCCCCGGAGCTGGCCCGGCTTCACCGCACTGGCATTGTCAACGCCTGGACAGCCAGCAACTATGATAGGAAGCCCTGGATCCAGGTACAGATGAGGAATCCCCAAGATGGGGTGATGGGAGAGGCTCCGTGTTGGGGGTCGCTGTGGCAGGGCGAACACTGGGGCCTCTGCAGCATGGGTCACACAGGTGAGGTCTCTGAGTGGAGGGAGCAGGCCCCAGGCTGTGGAGGGCTGTCTGCACTGGATGAGGCCTCTCTGGCCGCCTGAGCACCAGGTGGAGAGCCTGAGGGCTCTCTTCCTTTGTTCTGCCTGGGCTGTCCCTCCCCTGGGTGGGAGGAGAGAAGAGGTGGAAGGGAGCCGGGAGATGAGGGTGCCGTCTTGCCTGCCTCTGGCCCAGGTGAATCTGCTGCGGAAGATGTGGGTGACAGGTGTTGTGACACAAGGTGCCAGCCGCGCGGGCAGCGCTGAGTACGTGAAGACCTTAAAGGTGGCCTACAGCTTGGATGGGCGCAAGTTCCAGTTCATCCAGGAAGCGGACGGGTCTGGAGACAAGGTGGGGCTTGTTGGGGGGCCCTTCCTCGGGCAGGGTGCCCTGGGTGAGTCAGATGAGGCACGTCTCCAGGTGCATCTTGTTCCCAGAAATCAGCAGACCCAGGCAGTGCTAGTTCCACTTAGGCACAAGCGTGTGGGAGACCCTGTGGGGTGGTATGACACTAGAGCCCTCAGGGCCACGTAGAGTCGTGCAGGTTGTATCCTGCTCAAGGGTAGCATCACTAAGTGGGCACCACTCACAAGGCAAACATTGCATGCTGTGGGCCAGGATGGTCAGAATAAAGGCCCCTGTGGGTCGGTGTTGGTGCTTAGGCCCCAGGATGGTACAAGAAGGGTGTGAGAAGCAGCAGCTGTGTTGAATGCCGTGTGCTGGCCAACCAGACTGCTGCTGTGTGAGGCCTCTTGGCTCTGCTGAGTCCTTGCCTGCTCGGCTCACCTCTGCCTCGCAGACACAGAGGAAGGTGACTGCCACACCGACCTCTCCTCCTGGCCTGTCCCTTCCCTCCCAGGTGTTTGCCGGTAACGTGGACAACAGTGGACTGAAGACCAACCTGTTCGAGTCCCCTCTGGAGGCACAGTATGTGCGGCTGTACCCCGTGACCTGCCACCAGGGCTGCACCCTCCGCATGGAGCTCCTGGGCTGTGAGCTGAATGGTGAGTGCAGGCGCGGCAGCCAATCCTAGGAGAGGGCCCTGCTCCCTCGCTTCTCAGCCTGCTTGAGCCAGGTGGGCCAGCAGGAAGACCCAGGGACCTGGGCTCAGACAGGAGGCACCCTGCGTAGGTGTTCCCAGCCCGCCACCCCATGGCTCTGGGCAGTGGCTGGCAGAGAGAAGAAGCATCACGTCAGTTTGCAAAGCATTTTCACTAGTTCTGGGTGGCTTCTTCAATTTCTAGAACACCCAGCGTTGCTGCCGTTTTGTAGCTCTACAAGGGAAGGGGATTTGTTTTGTTCCCTGATGTAGTCCCAGTGCTCAAAATACCTGATGAATGATGAAGCGAGACTCAGATGTTTATTAGGGTATTGAAACTGGTTCCTTGGCCGGTGCCGCGGCTCACTAGGCTAATCCTCCGCCTTGCAGCGCTGGCACACCGGGTTCTAGTCCCGGTCGGGGCACCGGATTCTGTCCTGGTTGCCCCTCTTCCAGGCCAGCCCTCTGCTGTGGCCAGGGAGTGCAGTGGAGGATGGCCCAAGTGCTTGGGCCCTGCACCCCATGGGAGACCAGGAGAAGTACCTGGCTCCTGCCTTCGGATCAGCGCGGTGCGCTGGCTGCAGCATGGCGGCCATTGGAGGGTGAACCAACAGCAAAGGAAGACCTTTCTCTCTCTCTCTCTCTCACTGTCCACGCTGCCTGTCAAAAAAAAAAAAGAAAAAAAGAAACTGGTTCCAGGTCTCTGGGCCATCTAGTGTTTCCCCTGCCAAACCGCCTGTGGTCTGCACTTGGGGGAAGCATGGGGGCTTCTAGGTCTGTAGATTCTAAGCTCGTGCTTCCTGCCTTTGGTGGGAGAGTTGGGGGGCCCCGAATAGGACAGCTTTAACCAGAGCCCGGAAAACTCCCCATTGCAGACTCCACTGGCTGTCCTGTCTCAGCGTTTTCCTTGTTGGGGGTCTGGGTAGTTCCCTGTCTCTGCAGACACAGTGTCCCCTGCTGGCCACTGGGGGAACTTACAGCTTATTGGGCCAAGCTGTGGTCTACCTTTCTTGTCTTCAAAGACCAGTCCTGTTACATACCCCTCTCTCCTTATGTGACACCCTTTCTTGTTACACACCCCTCTCTCCTTATGTGGCACCCCTTCCTCTTACCTTCAGAGATCACCCTAAAACCACTCAGAGCTGAGCTCTCTGCCTGCCTCTTTTTGATTTTTGAGGACTTACTTATTTATTTGAAAGGCAGAGTTACAGAGACGCAGAGGCAGAGAGAGAGAGAGACAAGTCTTCCATTCGCTGGTTTACTCCCCAAATGGCAGCAATGGCCAGGGCTGGGCCAGACCAAAGTCAGGAGCTTCTTCCTGGTCTCCCACGTAGGGTAGGGGTCCAAGCACTTGGGCCATCTTCAGCTGCTTTCCCAGGTGCATCAGCAGGGAGCTGGGTCTGAAGTGGAGCTGCCGAGACTCAAAGCCAAGCCCACAGGGGATGCCGGTGCTGCAGGCGGTGGCTTTGCCTGAGCTTCAGTTGTGTTCCTTCTCTTCCTGCCTCTGAGCCTCGTCCTGGAAGTGGGGAGTAAAAGACTATTTTTGCGAAAAGGGAATTTAAGCAGCTGATGGGGGACAGAGCCAAGCCTGTGCCCTGCCGGCAGGCCTCTCAGCACTGCTGCCTTAGCCTTGGGCCGGGAGGAGCCTCTAACGGAGCCGGAGCCGGAGCCGGAGCCGCAGAGCTGGCTCGTCCGCCCTCAGGGCCCAGCTGACCCTTTTCCCGACAGGCATTCCTGCCAACTAAAGGGCGTGTTGAGTGTGTGAGGCCGAGGTATGGGAGGTCACAGGCGTGCACGGAGGAACTGCCCTGTGCCACGGTCGCCTCTTTGCAGGCAGGAACTGTGTCCTTGGAAAGTGTGTGAAGTCTTTGACTCAGTAAACTTCTGTTAAGACATTTTATTAAGTGGCTCAGTACCTGGCTCTGGGGAACAGTAAGGTGAGACCCTCGACCTTACAGCGCTGTTCCGGTCAGGTGGCCATGGGCACCCTGAGGGCGGCTGGGTGGTGACGCGATGCGGGTGTTGGGTGGGGGACTTAAGAAGATGCCAGGTTCTGTGGCCCTTAGAGAGTGAGGGGCAGCGCCCCGTGGGCCAGCAGTGTTAGCGTCACACCCTGGGCCTGCTGGACACCAGATGTGGACCCAGTCACAGCGAGAAGGGCCTCCCTCCTTCACAGCGTGACGGAGCTGAGAGTCCTGGAGTTGTCTAGAACCTGTCAGCTGCTCTTTCCTGGAAGGCTGATTTCCTGGGGAGGCCCAGAGCGGGGGCGTGACCTGCTGGGGCTGGTGATCTCTGTGCGGGCCCAGTCTGAGTGAACGGCTAGGATTGTTGCCATCGGCAAGGCTGCCCGGCTTTGCCTGCCTCAGGACTTCCCTGTTCTTTAGCCAAGAGCTGGGCCATCCCCCTGCCCGAGGCCTTTCTTCATGGGCTAAGGTGGGGTTCCCTTGGTACTCAGCCATCACAAGGTCAGAGTATGATTGGCAGGCAGTTGGTGACGGGGAGGCTTAGCACCGCATGATCGCTGATCTGTTCCCAGATGGACCTGTGGCTCTGCAGGCCCCTGCCCCTCCCCTCAGCTGTTCCTGTTCTTCTTCCTCCTCTTCTTTTTCACTTTAAAAACTTTTTCACTTGAAAAATGGAGTGACAGGGAGGGAGGAGGGAGAGACAGAAAGACATCCATTCAGTGGTTCACTCCCCGGGAACTCCATCCGAGTCTCCTACGTGGGTTCAGGGCCCAAGCACTCAGGCCATCCTCTGCTGCTTTCCCAGGCCGTCAGCAGGGAGCTGTGGCACTCCACTGTGGGGTGCCATAGTGCCGGTCCCTGAAGTGGGGTTCTGCCAGGGGTAGGGGACACCCCCATTCTTTACAAGTGTTATCTCCTGCCTGTGCCCGGCTGTCCTGGCCACATGCAGGCGCAGATACCAGCACAGTAGCCTGCACATTGCTGGGAGTGTGGGTCAGCCCTAGAACAAAGGCCGGCTTCTCGGGCCCTCGGACCCGTGGGACGGCACCCGGAACTCATCTGCGGAGTGTGCAAGGCTCTCTGGTAGGGCTGCTGCAGAAAAGTCCCCAGAAGGCATGGGGTCTCGGGCTTCTTGCAGCTGGAGGCAGGAGTGTTGTCCTCACTGCCAGGTGGGCCTTCCTGGCTCCTGGGGGATGAGTGGATGGTGGCGCTGCTGTCCGGGGTGTGTGTGTGTGTGTAGGGTGGTGGTAGTGGGGTGTGGACATGCTGCTAATGGCTCTTGGCCTCAGTTTTTCCATCTGTAGAATGGGGTTCCTAAATGCCATTTCTGCTTCATTCTGGATTTTTCTGTGGCAGATTTAAGGACTGAAGGAGCACTGAATACAGAGGTGGTTGTTCTTGACAGCAATCCCCGAACTCAGAGGTGTGGCTGGCAGCTGCACCAGGGGTAGAGCAGGGGTGCTGAGTCCAGAGCAGGGAGGGGACCTTCCCCAGTGAAGGGGTCAGGGCAGGCTCCTTGGAGCAGGTCAGGCCCGGAAGAGGTTGGAGGTGGTGGAGAAGCTGGAGAGGGAGAAGGGTGGTCCTGGGTGGTCTGTGAGGGACAGGTCGGGGTGGGGATGGGAGCAGCTGGGCAGGGCAGGCAGTGAGAAGGTGGAGCAGCTGGTTCTGATCGGGGCTGTGGAGTTTTCCCCTCCGTGGCCTCGTGTCTACACCCTGGGATCACAGTGCCGGCCTCCTTTGCCAGCAGGATGCTCAGAACCCCTGGGCCTAAAGGACAACACTATCCCCGACAAGCAGATCACGGCCTCCAGCAGCTACAAGACCTGGGGCCTGCGTGCCTTTGGCTGGTATCCCTTCTACGGGCGACTGGACAAGCAGGGCAAGTTCAACGCCTGGACGGCCCAGAGTAATGACGCCTCTGAGTGGCTGCAGGTGGGTCAGGCCCTACCGGGCTGCAGGGCCAGGTCAGCCAGATCTTTGATGTTGCCCAGCCCGGACTTCTGCTCCCCAGAAGAGTTTCTGAAAAGCCGTGGCTCTTGTACTTGAGCCTTTCCCTTTCTCCCGCCTTCTCCAGGTGGGGAAGGGTGTGCAAGGCCCTGTTGGCTGGCCCAGTGGATGAGGCTCTGCCTGCGGGCAGCAGAGCAGGAGGGAGCTGGAGACCCACCCAGGCCGCTGGGGACCTCTCCACATGGGCTGTGGGAAGGCCTTGGGCTTTGTGGAAATGGGTGAACAGTCTTTCTGATGGGGCAGCTATCCTGGCAGATGAGGACTAGCCTGGGCAGATGAGGACTAGCCTGGGCAGGTGAGGACTAGTCTGGGGCAGGTGAGTGCTGGTCTGGGGCTGGTGAGGACTAGTCTGGGGAAGGTGAGCACTAGTCTGGGGCACGTGAGGACTAACCTTGGGCAGGCGACCACTAGTCTGTGACAGGTGAGCACTAGCCTGGCAGGTGAGGACTAACCTGGGGCAGGTGAGGACTAGCCTGGGCAGGTGAGCGCTAATCTGGGGCAGGTGAGGGCCAACCTTGGGCAGGTGACCACTATCTTGGACAGGTGAGCACTAGCCTGGCAGGTGACCACTAACCTGGGGCTTGCTGGCTGGGAGGCTGTGTGAGCTTTGCAGCCTGGGGCTTGGACCACCTCCAGGCATGGCTGACCAGTCCTCCAGGCTGGTCGGGTGTGGGGCAGGTGTGTCTGCAGGCCCCAGTGCGTCTGTCTGTCCACCTGACTATGCCCCAGCGTGTCTGTCCGTCCACCTGACTGTGCCCCAGTGCGTCTGCCTGTCCACCTGACTGTGCCCCAGCGTGTCTGTCCATCCACCTGACTGTGCCCCAATGCGTCTGTCCGTCCACCTGACTGTGCCCCAGTGCGTCTGCCTGTCCACCTGACTGCCCCAGTGCGTCTGTCTGTCCACCTGACTGTGCCCCAGCGTGTCTGTCCGTCCAACTGACTGTGCCCCAGTGCATCTGCCTGTCCACCTGACTGTGCCCCAGTGTGTCTGTCCGTCCACCTGACTGTGCCCCAGTGCATCTGCCTGTCCACCTGACTGTGCCCCAGTGTGTCTGTCCGTCCACCTGACTGTGCCCCAGTGCATCTGCCTGTCCACCTGACTGTGCCCCAGCGTGTCTGTCCGTCCATCTGATTGTGCCCCAGTGCATCTGCCTGTCCACCTGACTGCCCCGTGGCTCTCCTGCAGGTCGACCTGGGTTCCCAAAAGCGGGTGACAGGCGTCATCACCCAGGGGGCTCGGGACTTTGGCCACATCCAGTACGTGGCAGCCTACAAGGTGGCCCACAGCAACGATGGCCGGAACTGGACCGAGTACAAGGAACAGGGGGCCACGGACAGCAAGGTGTGTGTGTGTCCGGCTGTCTTCCCTCATGCCACCTGGGCCCGGGAGGGAGGGCTGCCAGCCCTGGGGTCCTGCTGATGCCATTCCCTCTGTCTCCAGGTTTTCCCTGGCAACCTGGACAACTACTCGCACAAGAAGAATGTGTTTGAGACGCCCGTGCTGGCTCGCTTTGTGCGCATCCTGCCCGTGGCGTGGCACAACCGCATCACTCTGCGCCTGGAGCTGCTGGGCTGCTAGTGGGGGCCCGGCCAGGGGGCCTCCTGCCTGGCTGTAGCCCAAGAGGGGGTCCCACCAGACGCTCCTCTCTCCTCCTCACCCTCAGCTCCCTGGGGGCCTGGGGGTGGGGGCTCCTGCCCTGGCTCCCTATAGGGGGTGGCACCAGACACTCCTCTTTCCTCCTCACCTTCAGCTCCTTGGGGCCCCGGCCAGGGGGGCTCCTGCCATGGGCTGTAGTACAGCCTCAGAGGGGGGCCAACCAGACGCTCCTCTCTTCTCTTCACCCTCAGCTCCCACTGCTCTGGCGCCTGGCCCTCCTACCATCCCGATTTCTCAGGCATCACTCGGGGCTGGAGTTGGGGGTGGGTGCCTGCTGCCAGGCCCTGGCTGACACTGAAGAGCCCCGGCTTCTTTTCCCATATACTACATCCTCACATCCACCTAGCCCCAGAACCTTTCCTCCTATCTCCCCAGAGACTGCTACTGACCCTTGTCTTGGCCTGGAGGTTTGCGGAAGGGAGGGGGCTGGCCGGGCGGGTGTGGTGCCATTCTGCTGTTCTCACCCCACAGCACACAGGCAGCTTCCAGATACATTTGTGTTCTTCACTGGGACTCGGTGTGGTCTGTACTGCTCCAGCCAGTGCTGCGGGGCCCCTGCAGCGCCCCCTTGTGTTCAAGTAGCTCAACAGCAGTAGGATGGAGATTGTGTGTGTGTGTGTCTGTCTGTCTGTCTCTAGGGGGTGGGACTTCCACTTCCTGCTGCCCCTGGCAAGTGCCCACAACTGCTGTCTGGTGAGGGGCCCAGGACTCCCACTGCACACAGACTCTCCGTGAATGCCTGGTTCCCTCCCACACCAGGAAGATGGGCCCTGCCTGAGCTGAGGTTTCTTCAGGAGTTTCCATTTTCTCTGCAGCCCGAGGGCTGGACTGAAGAAACAGGAACCCCATGATCCCAGGCTACTTTTAGGGCTGTGTGGGGAGGAAAGCCCAGGGTACTCTGCCCTCTCCATGGCAATGTGGCCAGGACAGTGGCCTGGTGATCTGGGAAGGGGTGGCAGAGGAGGAACTGACTCCCTGGGAAGGGGTGTGTGAAGCCAGCCTAGTGTGAAACGTGAATTTTCCCATCCAGACTCTGGGATCCATGCTGGAAACACACAGGTGCCTCTGGGCAGGCAGACATAGCTTTGCTGGCACCTCCTGGAAGATTCTGGAGTGGACTCCTTTGCGAGGGCTGCTGTTGCCATCTGGATGGGGCGGGAATAGGGATGGGGTGAAGAGCCAGGGGGTGGTCTCCACAAGAATGGGGAGGGCCACGGCTCACTAGGCTAATCCTCTGCCTGTGGCACCGGCACCCCGGGTTCTAGTTCCAGTTGTGGTGCCGGATTCTGTCCCGGTTGCTCCTCGTCCAGGCCAGCTCTCTGCTGTGGCCTGGGAAGGCAGTGGAGGATGGCCCAAGTACTTGGGCCCTGCACCCCATGGGAGACCAGGAGAAGCACCTGGCTCCTGGCTTCAGATTGGTGCAGTGTGCCGGCCGTAGCGGCCATTTGGGGGGTGAACCAATGGAAAAGGAAGACCTTTCTCTTTCTCACTAACTCTGCCTGTCAAAAACAAAAAATGGGGAGGGCGACTCCTCACCCCTGTGGGCCCCTCAGCCCCTCCTTCCTTTGGCTGAGCTCTGGGTGCACCGGGTTTGCTGTCACCTGTTCTGGGAGTTGATGACCTCGGGACTCCTCCCTCCCCCAGACGCCTTTTCTGACCTCCCCTGGGGACCAGCAGACACTGGGAGAAGCAGCCCTGCCCTGGGTGGTTCTGCTTGTCCAGGAACTGTGACCTGAGCCTTGCTGGTGCCGAGAGTCCCAGCTGCAGAGGGAAGGGCTGCCCTCCCGTCTGCCAGCTTGGCCGTGTGTTTCTTCTCATTGCTGAGGGGCTGTGCATGCAGCCGGACCCTGCTCACCAAGCCCCCGCCTGCCCACGAGACCAGAGGTGACTGTGGAGTCACCTGTGCCCTCAGTCCCTCCTTCCTGCCTTCATCCCTCACTGTTGACCCACTCCTTCCTCAGTTCCTTCCCTGGGCAGTCTGCATGGACTCAGCGTGGATGGCCAGGGTTGAAATCCCATGTGCTGGCCCCCTACCCACTGCTGGTATGTGAGACTGCTGTAACCACACTCGCCCGCCCTCTGTCCAACCCTCGCCCTGCATTGCGGCTGTTGGTGCCATGACCTGTGGCCCCTGCCCTTCCACGAGTCCGCTCTCTTGTGTTCTCGGGATAAATATGGCGAGCGACTAGTAGATGAGAGCCTCAGTCAGTGAGTCGGTGCAGATGCTGGGCCTGTGTGGCCTTGGGCAGTTAGGTTCTCTAGGCCTCAGTTCACCTGTGAAATGGGAACAAGGCTGGCCGTAGTGGGACCAAGGGTGAGTGTGCACAGGAGCACCAGTGCCAAGACCAGCCCATCAGAACCTCAGAACTGGGTCCCTGTCCTCAGAGAAGCTTGGGAGGACTTCCTGCTGGGTCCTTGTGACCTGCTTTGCTTCCAGTCCTGCACCTGGTGCTCAGAGGTCTTCCCCTCTAAGGGAGGGACATTGGCGCCATCACCCGGCAGACCTGGCATTGACTTCAGGTGGCTTCATCCACAGCAGGTGCTGTGTGCAGAGCACATGCTGATGCCACACTCACATACCACACACCTTGTGTGCACCACACTCACATGTCACACACCTCCCTCTCGTGTGCACAGCACACATACACACACCCTTTACACACTTCCCACTTGTATGTGCACTGCACACTCACTGCATTCACAGGTTGCACACCCATCACATACACCTCCCACTGTGCCCAGCACACACTGATGCTACATTCACACGTCACACACCACACTCACACCCTTTACACACCTCCCACTTGTGTTTGCGCCACACACACTGCATTCACATATTGCACACCCATTACACACACCTCCTACTCTGCACAGCACACACCACACACCCAGCAACACTGCATTCACATCACACCACACATCACACACCTCTCACTCGTGTGTGCACCACACACCACTGCCCTGAGGTCACTCCCACCCCCACTGTGGGCCGCTGGAGCTGCTCCTATGTTTGTGGCTACTGCCAGCACTACGGCCCCATTCCGTCCCCCCTCCCTCGTGGACGGTGTTTATTAAGCTCACTTTCCCTGTGGGTTGGCGAAATTTTGTTTTTGTTTTTGTACTTGCATAGCCCAGGCCGCCTCCTCCAAGGAGCCCTCCTGCCTGCTTGGGGACGTTGGAGGGCCTTGCTGACTCCAGTCAGCCCCTTGCCCAGGGAGGTGGTGCCCAGCCTGGGCAGGAAGGGGCTGGGAGCAAGGCTGACCTCTTGATGGGTCCCTGAGCTCCTGGGTGAGATCCAGAGGAACGGAGAAATTTGATGCCATTCTCACCTCCTTTCTAAGTTCTGAAAGTTCCCAAGTTTTCTTCTGACTTCTCCCTGTGTGGGGAGCGGCCCTCGGGCGTGTCCTCCCCTGAACAGTCGGTGGCTGCAGTCCCCTCTTGGTCGGGCTGCCCGGTCCACCCCCTCTCAGGGCCCAGCGCTCTGCCCAGTGGATGTGATGGGGCCAAGAGGTCAGCTGGGTCAGTGCACTCCAGAGCTGGCCTCCCTCGGGGGCTGGCCTCGCAGCTGGGGCCCGGCTTGTGTCCTCCCGTGTGAGTGTGTGTGAGGCCTGGCAGGGGAGGGGTGAGGCTCGCCCTGCGGAGGGTCTCAGAGGCCAGAGGTCTTGGGGACCAGCCGTCCCCCTCCAGCAGGCAGGCCCTTCCCCGGCTGGCCGTGTCCGGGGCACTGAAACCAGATTCCTGGGCCCCTACAAGGCCTGGTGAGCCCGGCTCCCAGAAGATTCTGACGCACGCTCCAGCTGGACATCCGGAGGTGTCGCCGTCAGTCACAGCATCATGGAGCCCCTCCCAGGTGGCTGGCACTTCCCTCTGCTTTTGCCCCCATCAGCCAGTCACAGGTGAAGTGGGCACTCCTGCACTCTCACCTGCCAACATTCAACTGCGCACAGACCTAAAGATTCTGACAGGGGCTGGTGTGGTGTAGCTGGCATCCCATATGGGCAGTGGTTCAAGTCCCCGCTGCTCCACTTCCAATCCAGCTCCTTGCTAGCCTGGGAAAGCAGTGGAAAATGGCCCAGGTGCCTGCCCTGCACCCATGTGGGAGACGCACATGGACATCCAGGCGCTGGCTTCAGCCTGCCTCAGCCCTGGCTTTTGCCACCAGTGGGGAGTGGACCAGCAGATGAAAGCATGCTTGGTCTCCCACTCTCTCCGTATCTCTGTCTTTCAAATAAATAAGTGAATCTTTAAAAAAAAAAATGCTAGCACACTCAAATTCCCACTCAGAGGGTGTGCCCCCTGCCACTCGTAGCCGGGACTTGGGCATCCCCCAACAACACTCGTGGCCAGAACTTGGGCATCCCGCTCCCCACCCCCGCCACTGCCCTGTGCTCACAGCCAGGATTCGGGCATTCCCCCGCTCCCCGCAATGTTCACGGCCAGAACTCGGGCATCCCTCCCCCAAATGCTCAGGCGTCCCCGCCCCAACACTGGCGGCTGAGCACACTCACCCCAGCGGCAGCCTAGGGCGGCAGCTGAGTCATCTGCTTGAGAGCAGGATGCCTAGACGTCACAAAAGCCCGCAGACCCTTGAACCCGTGTGTGAGCAGTTCCTCAGCTTCCACACTAGTTGCAATCTGTGTTTTTTTCTTCCCTCTTGTAAATCCTGGTCCTGGGACTCAGTCTGCTGATTGGTACCTGTCACATAAGCAGTGACGTCACAGAGCTGCACTGCGCATGTGACCACGCCTGTTTCTCTGGAGTTTTTGAGGACACGTCAGTGATGACAGGTGCACATGTCCTGTGTGCTCTCACACTCCACTGAGAGCACAGCACAGCGCAGCACTCGTGGCCACGGCAGCCACTCTGAATAGACGGGGGCACTCCCCCGATGTGGGGGTCACTTGGTCAACTGCCTAAGAGCCCTCCGCAGCACCCGGATCCTGGCTTCCTCTTACATTGAAGAAGGGAAAAGAAATGGATGTGTTCCAAAGTCTTTATTATTATAATTATCATAATCTTTAGTTTCCAAAAATATAAATAGGTGCACGGAACCCTGGTGCCTGCACGGTCCCGGGGATGGGGGTAGGGAAGGGGAGCAGTGCCCCCACCCAGCCCTGCCGAGGTAGACTCCCACCGGCGGCAGAACCAGGTGAGAGGAGAGGAGGAGCCCTGCAGGGGAGCACGACCCCCGATGGCTCACTGGCCCCACTCAGAGGGCACCACCCCCCCGGCTCCTTCTCCAATACATTCAGCTGCGGCTCTGGTCCGGCCCCTGGGCCTCTGCCCCTTCCAGCTCCTTCTGGCCCCTCCTCCCACCTCCCTAGCTCTCCCTGGAGGTGAAATAACCAACATTGCACTGCTCTTGGATAAAGTCAGGAAACAAAAAATAATCTTCTTTATTTAACTTAACCCCTCCCCCTCTCCCCTGTCCCTGCCCTGGTCCCTGGAAAGGCACGACGGGAGATTGTCTCTAACCTCAGTCCGTGGGTTGCGGGAAGTGCTTGGCTTTGGCGTTTGGGGGACAAATTAGATGCAGTTTTGGTGATCTGGGGGTGGGTGGGGTGTGGTGCTTACACGTGTGGGATTTATGTTTTGCTTCTTTAATGGGATTCCATATATGACAAAAAGCGGCAACGAGAGGACATCGTCTGGGTGGGACGCACTCTTAGCCTGGTGGGCTCCTGGGCTCAGCATCCGACTCGACCTGGAGGTCCCCTCAGGGCGCTGAGCTGGCCTGGCTCCTCTGCAGGGTCCGGGAACTCCGCTTCTGCACTCTGCGCTTGTAGGTGGTGGCTGGGGAGAGAGAGTGATGGAAGGGGGTCAGGCCTCACCCCTCCCAGCCCGAGGCTTTCCTGCTGGCTTTCACTGGTCTTCAAACTTCCTTGGGCTACAGAAATTCAGGTTGCTGTTGATAAGGAGGGGGCCAGGCCAGGACGGGTCAGCATTCCGACCTGGGCAGACCCGCACCCACCCCCGAATCAGGGCACAGCTCACGGTGTGTGCAGGTGATCCGTGGCTCCTCCCAGTGCCCACTGGGCTGGCACCGGATGGTGGGCACGTGGCGCTGGGTGAAGCCTTCTGCGCACTGGTACCGAACCAGGGAGTTGATCTCGTACCGGTCCTTCTTCTGTCCAAAGGTCCTGGCGTGCTCCACCACCGGGGGGTCTCCACAGGCCACTGTGGGGCAGGCAGCCTCTTGGTAAGGGCCCCCCTAGGGTCTTCGGTGATGACCGAGGTGGCCCAGAGCCGGGACTGCCCTCAGGAGTGTTTTCATGCAGCTAAGGATCTGGACTCCACTGGTTTGACACCGGGATCGCTCAGCAATTTGGAGCAGCAGGAAAGGAATGTAGGAGGGGCCCTCAGGGGCCGGCGCTGTGGCGCAACGGTAAAGTCGCCGCCTGCATTGCTGGCAACCCATATGGGTGCGGGGTCAAGTCCCGGCTGCTCCACTTCTGATCAGGCCCCTGCAATGGCCTGGGAAAGCAGTGGGAGATGGCCAAGTCCTTGGGCCCCTGCACCTGTGGGAGACCTGGAAGAAGCTCCTGGCTCCTGGCTTCGGATCGGCCCAGTTCCAGCCATTGCGGCCATTTGGGGAGTGAGCTCAGGGATGGAAGACCTCTCTCTCTCTCTGCCTCTCATAACTCTGTCTTTTAAATAAAATAAATAAATCTTAAAAAAAAGAGGGGTCCTCCATGGGCAAACACAGGGAGGGAAGGGCTGGGAGAGCCAGCAAACCACTGTGGATTCTTTGTGAAAACACACAGGCTGGGGAGACTGGGACCCAAAAGAGGCCTGCCAGACACAAGGCCACAAGCAGGCGCAAGGGGTGTCCACAGACACGAGTGGTCAGAGCCTGGCAAACCTAACTCTGATGGACTTGGGAACCACAAAGAAAGGGGGGCTTCCAGCCCAGCCGGCCTCGCGGTGACTTCCCACAACCCATGTCAGAGGTGCTGTGTGCAGCGGGGGTCCTGTGCCTGGCCTGTGACGGTCACACACTCCCTGTCCTGGCAGACGGACAGGAGCCAGCTTGCCCTTGCTGCTGGCCTTGCAATGCTGGTGCTGGGCCGGGCCCCCGAGACAAGCAAGGGGACGCCAGCAGCCAAAGACAAGGGGCTCTGGCACCGGCCACACGGCAGGAGCTGCACCCAGAGCCTCCAGCCTCAGCCCCTCCGCTCTGGGTCTCCCGGGGCCTGCGCACCTGTGCCCTTTTTACAGGTGAAGGGTAGGTGGTAATTGCAGGGGACGTCATTCCACTCGCCCTTCTCGTGCCAGATCATCACCACGCAGTCCTCCCCAGTGGCAAAGAAGTTGTCCGGCTGGTTGGGGCGCCAGTTCTCAAATTGCTGTGGATGGGAGAGGAGGGAGTGAGGAGAGGGCAGGCGCCCTGGCTTGTCCGGTCAGGGCTGTCCCAGGTGCTGGAGCCCATGGGCCCCCCAGGACACTGGCCACCCTTCTCAGAAGCTCAGAACCGGCCAGGGTTCACCACCACCACCACCCCACCCCCGCTCATGCGCCAATCACTCTCCTTGTTCCCATAGGCCGGTGGGACTGGATGATAGAATCCCGGCTCTCCAGTCAGGACTCTGCTCTCCAGTCCCCGAGACCTCCCACTTCCTGCTGCCTCAAGGGCTCCACACCCCTCCCAGGCTGCCTCTTCTGGGGAGCCTCCCCCGAGGCCCTCCAGGCTTCATGTAGGCTGCTTTCCACAAGGGGCAGCTCTGAGCACCCACAGACCCTCGTGGTGGGTCCTGCTATCTGTGCCTTTCTCTCCCAGCTTCCCCAGGCCTCCTGAGGTGCCCTGGGCGGTCTCAGAGGCAGAGGGAAAGGAAGCGGATTCCCTGCCCTTGCGATGGCCTGGGCCAGCTGCTGCGTGCCTGGCTGGACGGCACCTCTCTCTGGGGGAGTCTTCATCCCATCCCTCCACTGGGCCGCCAGCAGCACTCACTAGGGGGTGTCCATCCGACCAGCGAAAGTCCCCTTCGATGGTCCTGTCATTCAGGCCGATCCACTGGTAGTCCTGAGCGTTGTCTGGAGAGAAAGGGTGGTCCTGGGCCTCTGCTGGACACCTTAGAGTGTCTAAGCTGGGGGCTTCAGAGAAGGAAGTGGGGCTCCCAGGAGCACACTAGGTCTTTGCAAGGTCTTAGAACATGCGTGTGTGGCTGCCTCCCTGGCTGGCACAGACAGGTGACAGCCACAGGGCCAGTGTGGGGCTGCCTGCATGCAGCCAGAGCCACTGGCCCCAGAGACCTCTGCCTTCTCTCAGGGGACTCAGGCTTTCGGAACCCCTTCCTTCCTTCCCAGGTCCACCCCACGCAGCCTCACGGGCTGACAAGGCCACCGTCCTTGGGCCTGGAGCCTGGTGTACTCACTGTTGACAAACTCCTGCTCCTCCGGGGTGACGATGCTGCTCAGGTGTGACTGCTGCTCCCGACACCGGCCCTCAGCATCCACCCAGGTCTCGCGGTCGGGGAAGTGACGGTAACAGTGGCCCTGGAACTTGGTCCAGCCCTCCTCACAGACCTCCTGGTCTGCAACATAGGCAAGGGTTTGAAGGGGGGCTGGGCCAACTGGGGGTGACTGGCGGTGCCAGTCAAAGGCAGGATTCCTGCACTCACCCCACCGCACATGGCTCGTCCCGGAGGCAGACCTGCAAGGCCTGGTCCCCGGAGCCTCTGAGCAGGCGCCCCCCTCGGGGAAAGGCCAGGGAACGATTCTTTCCCACCCCCCACCAGCTTTCCTCGTGGGGCAGAGTCCGTGAAAAGAGGTGGAAGGTGAGAGGTCCTAAGGTTTGTGGCTCAGAGGCTCCGCAGGACTCCAGGAGGAGCTGCAGAAGCAGGCGAGGGCAGCTGGCGCGGGCAGTGCTGGGCAGAGCCTTGGATGGGAGCAGACAGAGCAGCAGCCAGGAGTCTGCTGTGGGTGAAACTCAGGGTCCCAGGGTCGGCTCTGGTGATTACCCATGCTGGCCCACAGGGGGCAGTCGGGGGCCCTGGCTTTCTACCCTATTTTGGTGGCAGATGGGAAAAGGGGTAAGTGTCTCTCTCCCTCAGTTCTGGAGAAGGGGCTGGTGTGGAGCTCACAGAGCAGCCTGGGGAACAGCACAGCGATGGCGGGAAGCCTCTCACACAGGTGTGAGGGCCAATCGCAAGTGTCACTTTCTAGCGCTGCCTTTGGCTACCTGGTGCTGGTGTGGCTGAGCTGAGCAGTTCCCTACCAGGCCCTGGTGCTGGTGTGGCTGAGCTGAGTACCTCCCTGCAGGCCCTGGTGCTGGTGTGGCTAGGCTGAGTACCTCCCCACAGGCCCTGGTACTGGTGTGGCTGATCTGAGTACCTCCCCGCAGGCCCTGGTGCTGGTGTGGCTGAGCTGAGCAGTTCCCTACCAGGCCCTGGTGCTGGTGTGGCTAGGCTGAGTAGCTCTGGCCCTGGTGCTGGTGTGGCTGAGCTGAGTACCACCCCGCAGGCCCTGGTGCTGGTGTGGCTGATCTGAGTACCTCCCCGCAGGCCCTGGTGCTGGTGTGGCTAGGCTGAGTAGCTCTGGCCCTGGTGCTGGTGTGGCTAGGCTGAGTAGCTCTGGCCCTGGTGCTGGTATGGCTGAGCTGAGTACCTCCCCACAGGCCCTGGTGCTGGTGTGGCTGATCTGAGTACCACCCCGCAGGCCCTGGTGCTGGTGTGGCTAGGCTGAGTAGCTCTGGCCCTGGTGCTGGTGTGGCTGAGCTGAGTACCACCCCGCAGGCCCTGGTGCTGGTGTGGCTGATCTGAGTACCTCCCCACAGGCCCTGGTGCTGGTGTGGCTAGGCTGAGTAGCTCTGGCCCTGGTGCTGGTGTGGCTGAGCTGAGTACCTCCCCACAGGCCCTGGTGCTGGTGTGGCTGATCTGAGTACCTCCCCACAGGCCCTGGTGCTGGTATAGCTGAGCTGAGTACCTCCCCGCAGGCCCTGGTGCTGGTATAGCTGAGCTGAGTACCTCCCCGCAGGCCCTGGTGCTGGTGTGGCTGAGCTGAGTACCACCCCGCAGGCCCTGGTGCTGGTGTGGTTGAGCTGAGCGGCTTCCTGCAGGCCCTGGTGCTGTGGTCAGGCTTCTTTCTTTGTAAGAAAGAGCCGTCGCTGACTGTGCAGAGGGAATTCCGAGACCTTCTCTTCCTCCTTCCCTGAAGGCTCCCCAGGTGGAGAGCTGCCCTCCCTGGCTGAGTGGGGCCATGAACTCGGTGGGCAGCCTCCCCCCAGGCTGCCCCCAAAGTCTGGCTGTCTCAGGAAGGGAGAACCAGTACCTGAGGGGGAGGAGTCCCGTGCTGAAGGGATGGACGCCTGGCAGGGCTGCAGGACAGACAGCGGGAAGAGTGGAGACAGAGGAGAGTGGGAGGCAGCAGCCTGAGAAGAAAGCAGCAGAGCAGTGGCTGAGGCGGCGGCCGTGGGCACCCCTGCTGCCCGTGCCATCCCCAAGGCACGAGGCAAGTGTCTGGAGAGAGGCAGAGGCAGAGAGGGAGCTCAGCACTGCTGAGTCCTGAGCTGCCGCCCAGGGCTGACCTGAGGGCTGGGCAGGCAAAGCTGGCAGGTGCAGGTGTTCTGCTGGGCGTTGTGGGGGGGCATGCAGGGTTGGGGCTCTGGAGAAACAAGCATGGAGGCTGGAAGAAGTGGCAGAGCTAGAGCCACGGCGCATGGCACCACGGGGCAGTGTGGGCTCAGGACGGGGAGGGGAGGTGCCAGGGCCCAGGGCCCAGCTTTGTGGCTGGGCACCATTTCGGTTCCAGCACAGCCCCCATCCCAGGCAGGGAGAGAGCTGTTGTCTGTGTGGGCATTCCAGGCCCTTCTCCCCTGTGGCCAGTGTTTCCTTGTAGAAAAGTCCTTGTAGCTCTGCTCCCTACCCCAGCCAAGACCCCGCGCACTGACTTCTGGGGGCCGTGGGCTGAGGGTGGGAGGCTACAGGGGAGGAAGGATTCCAGGCCTTTTCTTCCAGAAGGCTTAAGCTCCTCCACCAGCCTGTAACTTTGGCAGTGCCTCCAAGGAGCATATAACACAAAACTACCTCCCCACACTGCTGGTACCACAGGGAGTCTTCCTAGTGTCTTGACAACCTTCTGGAAGTTTCTGGGTGTTTACTGAGAGGGACCTAGAGACCCTGCACTCCTCCATTTCTGCATGGACTACGGCTGCCCCCTTTTCTGAGTCGGGATGCCTCTGAGACCCAAGGCTGGGGAGACACTTGGCGAGTGAGCTGGGGGCTACACTGCCCAGGGGCAGAAGCAGAGGCTCCCCCTGCCCTTGCAGCAGCCGTCTCTCTCTGGCTGGCCTGGAGGGTTCCTGGCACAGCTCCCCGAGCAGAGCGGGCAGCCTGGCCCAGGTGCAGAAGCAGAGGCCCCTAAGCAGGCCGTTTCTCTCTGGCCAGCCCCTGGTCTTGCACAAAGTAAAGAGAGCAGCAGTGCGGGCTGGCCTGGCACTGACAGTGATGAGCACGAGGTGACATCCGGGACACAGGAGCTCTCAGGCAGACCAACCATCACGTTTGCCCGAGGAGAAGACAAGGCAACTTGGGCAAGGTGCACAGTGGCTCCCAGGGCTGTGGAGGGTGCCGCAGAGGTTCCACGGGCAGTGCAGCAGACATGTGCCTGTGACCATGCTGGGGAGGTCCACGGCTGTCACTGGGACGAGAACCGACTGCTCCCACCCGTAGCTTCCTTCGAGACAAACACATGGAAGCAGCCCTGTCCTCTGAGCCTGGCGCATGCACTGACCTAAGCTCGGTGCTGTCGCCAGCAGGCGTGTCTGCCCTGGAGAAGATGAGTGCCGTGCACAGGCTGGGCCTGAGGAGGCTTTCAGGAGCAAGAGTGGGAGTCAGTGGGGGCAGACTTGGCAGCTGTGGTCCCGGGGGCCCCTTCCAGGGCCTGTGGTCTGTGGTTAGAAGGGAAGGGTGAAGGAGGAAGGGTACAGCAGTTAGTAACATTAGCTGAAGCCGAGACGGCCGTACCGGTCTCACACAGGTCCCCTCCGTAGCTGGGAAGGCATAAGCATGTGAAAGAGTCGATGGCATCCACGCAGGTGGCTCCATTCACACAAGGGCTTGAAAGGCACTCATCAATGTCTGCAAGAAACCAAGGGCTGCCATTAGGGTTCCCGCCGGCACCTCCAGCCTCTCCAAGCCCCAGGAGGGGACTGGCTGGTTTTCCTAAGAACTGCTGCCACCGCTGCCATCTTGGAGCCAGACAGGTTTTCTCAGATGTGTGTGATTCTTGATTGGCAAGCACAGAGTGCTGGCGCCGGGTCTCCCAGTGGGGTGAGGGGATCTGGTACTTGTAAGGCCAAAAGCTTGCTGTGAGCACACAGAGTCCTCCCAGAGGTGTTCTCTTGTGACTGAGGAGCCAAAGGTTCTGAACTGGCTGTGAACGTGGTAGCACGTTGGTGAGCGGTCCTTCCTCTGTAGCTGGGGACTGGGGAAGGGGGCAAGGCCGAGCAGGACCAGAAAGAACGGCAGTGCCCTGCAGAGCACAGACCCACAGACAACGGCGCCCGGGCGTTCCCGGGAGACTCGGTAACTGCCTCCTTATCTGCAGCACGTACGGTTCTACGGTGTCTCGTAAAGATGAAGCCAGCATCTCTCTTGGGAAAAGGTCAGACACCGTGCCCAGTGTTTCCCCAGAACGTGGATCTCTTTGCGGAGTCACAGTTTCTAAAGGGGCTCCATCCCATGCAGAGGGGGACAGCACTGGAGGCTGGCGCGCTGCCCCCGCCCAGGAAAGCGCACTTCCCCTCGGATGCAGGCAGGCTCCCATCAGCATGTTCTCAGGGGCATCTGTCTTCCCTTCTGTGCTCCTGGCCCCACGACGTTCTTCCCGATCTCTACGTAGGACTTGAGTTAGTCACCGGCCTGTACTTCAACTTCTCATCAGTTATGCAACGTAACAAATGAGATCAAATTGGTTCTTTCCGAGCAGCTCTGGAAATTCCTCCTGCTCTCTTCCTATTCCACTCCCACGGCTCCTGCTGGCTGTTGCTGCATCTCCTCCCCTGGGAACGTGACAGTCATGGTACAGCTCCTCCTGCCAGTCAACAGGGCTCTGCCACCTGACGTGGCCGCTGTGCTGGTAGCTGTCAGCTTCGATGACGCGTCCATGGTCCTCCCCAACCGAGCAGCCGAGTTCTGTGCTCCTGAACACATGCCAGGAGTTAGTCCTCGCCTCCCACAAGCGCACGCCAGATCTTACAGCCAGTCCTGGGCAGCGGGCACAGCGGATGTCTTCTGGACCAGGGCTGGGCTTATGCAGTGGGAGGCTTCTTGCTTATCTGACCATGTCCTTAACACCTCAGAGAGCACACACCGCGGATTAGAAACCAACAGTTCCAAGGGTGGAACTGTTCCAAGCAAAACCAAAATGCATGAGGAACTGACTGAAATCCCAGCATGCACTTGATTCCCAGCATGCAGCAGGACTCCCGGCAGCAGCAGTGGCAGCAAAAATAGATCAGGCCAGTGTGCAGGGTGGAAGCCGGGCTTCCGTGCTCCGTTGTCCATTAGTCATTGCAGGAGTGGGAAGCACTGGGCAAAGGCAGTCAAGCAAACGTAGGCGCTGAAGCAGTCGTACAGAGCAGGGCACAGGAGTGGCCTCTGGGGGAAGAGCCAGACACCAGGCTCCCAGCTGTCCCAGACGCTTACTGCACCCCCATTCCCAGGCTGCCAGGGGCCCCAGGAGGCAGTATCCCTCCCCTTCTGTGCTTGTCCAGGGTACACAGCTGAGAGTGCAGCAGGGGCCAATCCTGGGCTCAAAAGTCTTTCCTGCAGGGCCCTGGGCTCAAAGGTGAGGAGAGGAAGCCCGAGGGCCAGGAGAGGCTGAGTCAGCGCTTCTACAGCAGGGGGTACAGCTGGGGCCCTGGGGGTCCTGCTCACCAGGGATGCGCTCCCGCCCTGCCTCATCCCCTCTGCTTCCTGTGAAAGGCAGTTCGGGTATCTCTGGGCTTCTGGAACCAAGGGAAGTGTCACTGCTGTGAGTGCAGAGTGTGAACCCCAGGCCAGGTGCTCACAGGGAGGGAGAGAAGGGCGCCGGGCCTGGGCAGACTCCGTGAAGGAGGAACACAAAGGCAAGGAAGCAGTAACTGTCAAGAACCCCTCCAGCCAGATGTCAGCTCCCACAGCCCAGGGGCAGGGAGCTGCTGTCAGTTACAGGGGCAGAACCGAGCCAGTGCCTGGCCCACGCTGGTCAGTAGGGGAGACAGAGCAGAGATGGAGGGGAGAGTCGGGAGTGAGTCTGAAGCCGGCTTCTGCCCCATGTGGAGGAAGAGACTCGGGGGTCCTCCACGCTCAGCTGCTGCACCGGCTAGTCTCCCTCATCACCACTGGAGGTGCTCGGGGGGTTCCCTGGTCCTCTCCACACTCCCACAAGCAAAAGAGAGAGCTTGTTTCTGAGCCGGCCTCTGCAAGCCTCCGACTCTGGGGAGGAAGCCCTCTGAGCATCCAGTGAAGGCGAGGGGAGCAGAGATCTTGCCGATAATCACGAGGCCCCCACCTTGAATGGGTCATGCGCGATTTCTGCCTGGGTCAGGGCCCAGGACCTGCAAGGCTCCTGGCAGGTATGAAAATAGAAAACTCTGTGACAGCAGACCTTAACGATATTCAAGTCAAGGGCTTGCCCTGCACAAAGACTCTGATACCAGGAGGTCAGGGACAGCCTGTGCACTGACCGTGGACACAGCTTTCCTGGAAGAGGACAGGGGACAATCCCCAGGGGAAGACCCCTCAGCTCCATAGATGCTCCGTCCTCTGCACAGACTCAGGGTCCATCAGGACAGACCTGCGTGTGGCTCCTGGGCTGCACAGTTGAGAACAGGACTTAAGAGCACCCAGACTGGGGCCGGCAATGTGGCGCAGCAGGTAAAGCCACTGCCTGCGAGGCCGGCATCCCATGTGGGCACAGGTTTGAGTCCCAGATGCTCCACTTCAGATCCACCTCTCTGCTAATGCTCCTGGGAAGGCAGCAGAGGATGGCCCAAATCCTTGGGCCTCTACACCCATCTGGGAGACCTGGAAGAATCTCCCGGCTCCTGGCTTCAGACTGGCCCAGCTCCACCCATTTTAGTCATTTGGGGAGTGAACCAGCAGATGGAAGACCTCTCTCTCTCTGTCTCTCCCTGTCTCTAACTCTGAATTTCAAATAAATATATCTTTTTTTTAAAAAAACCTGACCAGTTCCAGTTAGTTTCTAGAATATGCTTCATTAAGTTAAAAAGTGTGTGATCATTGTTTATACTATTTCAAGTCTTTCATATTTTAAAGGTTGGTCTTGAAGGCACCCTGAATATCCTCCTTGCTAAATCTGCCTGTGGACTTTCTCTGTCAAGTCAAGGTGTAGCTTGTATTTTCACTTGCAAGCCTCTATTGCCACTGGCTTCGAAAGCATTTCTCTCCCAGGGAGTAGTTCAGCTCCTCTAGAGCTCCAACTCTAGTGAGTGAGAAGCAGCAGAAAGAGGTGGCCACACAGCCCTGGGACCACCGGAGGCTGGCGGGGCCTGGGCCAGGACCACGGTTCCAACCTCGCTGCATGCAGGAATCACTGGGGCAGCTGAAGCAAAACGAAACGAAATGAAACACTTCTTTTTCTCTCTCTCTCTCTCTTTTTTCTTTTCTTTTCTTTTCTTTCTTTCTTTCTTTTTTTTTTACAGGCAGAGTGGACAGTGAGAGAGAGAGACAGAGAGACAGGTCTTCCTTTGCCGTTGGTTCACCCCCCAGTGGCCACTGCAGCCGGCACGCTGTGGCACCACGCTGATCCAAAGCCAGGAGCCAGGTGCTTCTCCTGGTCTCCCATGGGGTGCAGGGCCCAAGGACCTGGGCCATCCTCCACTGCCTTCCCGGGCCACAGCAGAGAGCTGGCCTGGACGAGGAGCTACCGGGACAGAATCCGGCGTCCCGACCAGGACTAGAACCTGGGGTGCCGGAACTGCAGATGGAGGATTAGCCTATTGAGCCATGGTGCCGGCCACAAAACACTTTTCAAAGCATCCCGGATGGTTCTAGGCTGAATCGGAACCCCAGGGCCCGGTGCTGCTGCTGCCACAGGTGAGGAACAGAGCAGTCGTGCCTGGGAAACCACACAGTCTGGATGTTCACTCAACAGTTATTCTGAAGTCCAAAGTACTGATTAATAACTTATCATGAGGCCAGCGCCGCAACTCACTAGGCTAATCCTCCACCTGTGGCGCCGGCACCCCGGGTTCTAGTCCCGGTTGGGGCACTGGTTCTGTCCCGGTTGCTCCTCTTCGTCCAGCTCTCTGCTGTGGCCCGGGAAGGCAGTGGAGGGTGGCCCAAGTGCTTGGGCCCTGCACCTGCATAGGAGACCAGGAGGAAGCACCTGGCTCCTGGCTTCGGATCCGCACAGCGCCGGCTATAGCGGCCAGTTGGGGGAGGGGGGTGAAACAATGGAAGGAAGACCTTTCTCTCTGTCTCTCTTTCGAGTTAGAACTCTGCCAGTGGAAAAAAAAAAAGAAAAGAAATATTAAAAAAAATAAATTATCATGAAATTGTTTATGGATACTGACTGAACAAGATGAGAGCAACCGTCAGATGTTTTCTTTCTAAACTAAATACAGCCTCTAACCTCTTACAAGGTGGAACTTTTCCCCTGAGGAGTCAAACACTGCCTCCGGACCATGCTGTGTTCCCTGCCCACAGCCACTGGAGGACACAGGTCCCAGTCTGACAACCTGTGGTTCCCGGCTCCAGCACCAGAAGCAACAGGTGCTTGTGCAGAACAGGCACGGCCCGAGCTGCTGCTGTAAGCATCGGAACCACGAGCTGAGTGAACCTGGGAGCCCAGGCTTGGGCGGGGCTGGTCCCTATCGCCGGCTCCTCAGCCACACGGGGGCGGGAGACCCCCACGGCGGGTGGGACCCGCTTGTTACATGGCTCTTCCAGCCAGGTGCTCTCCACAGGTGATCTTAACCTCACACCAGTAGTTCTCAGCCCTGGCTGCACATGGGAGCCTCCTGGGAGTCGTGAAAACCCAGGGCCAAGGCCATGGAACCATTCCAATCAGAACAGGAGGGTGGGTGTAAAGCTGAGAACCGCCACCCTGGGTCCTCGTACACGGACAAGGAAAGTGACGGCTGGACTGAGCGATGAGCGACACCTGCTCCTGGGGACGACCCCCACGCCAGCTCTGCAGAGTCTGGCTGCAGCTCTCTGAGACCAGCGCAAGCGTAAAAGAAATCAGTGAGGACATCGTGTCTTGATCCAGTCCACGGATCAAGATGAGTGACAGGGGTCAGGGCGAGTGCTCGGCCCCTCTGCTCAAATGGAGGTGACCACCAGGCTGTCCCAGAGGTATCTGGGAAGGAACTGTGGGAAAGAAGCCTTTGGAAATCCACCTGGTCACAGAGAGGCAGTCCCCAGCACAGCACAGTTCAGGCCACTGTCATCACTTGAGTAAGGTCGGGGTTCCAAGGACATGAGTTTTGCTATAACTTCTGACACCAGAGTCACACCTCTGCCTCAAGTACCAGGTGGAGAAGGAGTTGCCCATCTGGGGGGTACAGGAGAATTGGGGTTATAGTCCCCGAGTCAGCATGACCCCTGGAGACATTGCTCCTGGCCACGAACCCAGGGCCTTCCTGGGTCCCAGCCCCCATATGTGGGCGGCCACCTCCCCTCACAGCTGGTCACTTATACACATGTGGCACTAGAGAGGCTATGCAAGGGTGTACACACACCCAGGGCCCTTCCTGGTAGACAGCAGAAAGGCTACAGAGGGCAGATGCCCACAGGGCCCACCTCAACACAGGGGCTTCCCCAGGATTCATTTCTTTCAGTTTTTCCATTTGTCCTGGGAATCAGGTCCTTTCCTGAAAGATCTTGGGCCTTGAATTCTGGATTTAGGAGCTGTGGATAAGGGCCCTGGGTGGTGGAGAGACCTAACCCAAGACTATGAGCTTGGAGGAAAGTGGCAACTCCTTCCTTGGGAGGACCTCCAGGCTCCTCACCTACCCAAAAGGGTCCTGGGCTGAGGCTAAGGACAAACAGGCTCCAGAGGGTTGGTGCCCAGGGACTCTGCTGTGGGCTCACGACTTCCACCCCAACACCTCTCCTCCCCCTGCCTCTCCACCTCTCCCCACTTCCTCTCCTCCCAGTCTCCTGCCCCTCTCCTCCCACCTCTCCCCTGCCTCTCCTCCTCCCTCTCCCTCACCTCTTCCCCCACTTCTCCCTCTTCTCCTCCCCCTCTCCTCCCCCCTCTTCCCCACCTCTCCCTGCCTCTCCTCCCCCCCACCTCTCCTTTCCACCTCTCCCCCACCCCCGCCTCTCCTCTCAGCCTCCGCTGAGCTCTGCCACTTCCTCCTGCTGTACTCCAGCCAGTGCCCCCACCCTCACACCTCATGGCCCACGAGGGACTTACCTATGTCACAGTACTCGCCAGTGTGGCCAGGGGGGCACAGGCATGTGACGCGTCCCTCTGTCTCCTGGCAGGTTCCAGGGCCACAGGGCTCTTCAGCACAGGACCTGGGGGCTGTGACCCCAGGGAAGAGGTTGAGCATCAAGAACCCAGCAGCCTGGGGGCGGCTGCAGCAGGAGGTTCCCACACTCCCCTGTGAGGCTGGCTTTGGGTCAGCCTGTCTCTGAGGACTCAGTCCCTCCTTGGCTCCTGGCCTCCAGCACTGGGCGGGGGAGTCCGCCTGTGAAAGCTCTCCCAGCCCAGAGACAGGTGCAAGGGGTCCCAAAGCCAAGAGCAATGGGAAAGCAGCAACTGCCTGCAATTGTGTTGCAGTGAGACAGTGACAATACGACAGGGGTCCCTGTAGACTCAGGGTCTGAATCAGGACATGGCCACGGTGACCCTTTGCAGCTCCTTGCACTGTGCAGACCTCAACTGCAGAGTGAACAGTGGGTTCCCGCTCCCCAGGGTGCACCAGCAGGGTTCTAATGCTGCCTACACTGGCACCCTCTCCCTCCTTGTGCAAAGCACAGATGGTTGGATCCACACAAAAACGCTCCTGTGTGGGAGTCCACTGGAATGACAGCAATCACTCATCTTTGCAAGCGCACCATGTGCGAGGGGTGATGCTGAGTGCCTGCGTTTACGCTCTGCTGACCCTTCTTAGCTCCCCTGCAACTACAGGCTCAAAGAGGCTAAGAATTTTGCCTGAGGCTGCACAGCCTCCCACTGCACTACAGCTGCCTGTAGGCTGAATTTACCAAAGCACCTTAGAGTAAACGCGTCCCAACAATACCTGCTGTGGTTGGCCCTGGTTCACCTGGCGTGTCTGCAGAGGCTGGAGAGGCGGCTGTTCCAGCTGTGTCTTCTCCTGAGTACGAGGGGCTTGAGGACTTGGTCTCCGGCCACATCTCTGCAGGACGCTGGCTGTGCTGGATCCACTCGGCCTCTGGGACATTGGTGACAACATCCACCGGTACCGGCGTGCGGCCAGATAGGTCTCCACTGACTTCAGCTCTGTCCTCAGAAGCTGCGGGAGTGGCCAGAGGCAGGCCTGATGTCTCTGTACCTATTTCGTAGCTGGTGGTAGACTCTCCACTCACTTCCTGGGATGCTGAGCCCTCCCTGGGGCCTTGCTGAGAGGCCAGAGAGCTGCTGCTCACCTCCAGGCCCGAGGCTCCCTCACCAGCAGCTTCTCGGAAAACAGAGGTGATTTCACCAGAATCAGGGGACCCAGAGGCTTCTCCACTGGCGTCAGGTGCAGCAGCTGCCTTCGTCCCAGGCTCAGCATAGGCAGATGTCTCGCCGTGGGATTCTGGGACGGAGGATGCTTCTAGTCCAGACCCAGGGAAGGCTGGTGCAGCTCCACTCGTGTCCCCAGATGCAAGGGCTTCTCCACTGGACTCAAAAAGCTTTGGGACGTGGGTCATAGGGGGTCCTTGGCCAAGTTCTTGAGAAACAGTTGGTCGAGTAACACCCTCCATGAACTCAGAAGTGACTAAAGTAACTTCTGGCAGTCCTGAGATGTCCCCACTGGAGCTTGTGGCTGCAGAGGCTTCTCCACTCACATCAGGGGTGCTGGGAAAGTCCCCACTAAAATACGGGGTGCGTGGTGGCTCCCCACTGGGTTCCACCAGCCCAGACTGTAGCCCACTTGGGTCCAGAAATCCAGAATGGGCTCCAGACACATCCGGCAATCCAGAGTGCACACCGCTGAGTTCCAAAATGTCTGAGGGCCCTTCTGCTTCTTGGGCTGTTGGGGCCTGGGTTACGGATTCTACCAAAGTTCTGTCTACTAGAGAAACAGTGGGGAAACCAGACGGAAGTCCACTGCTGTCAAACACTCCTGAGGGCAGGCCACTCGTGATCTCAGTCCCAGAAGCTTCTCCACTGACCTCAGCTACTCCACTTGGTGAGCCACTGACTTCCGGAGCCAAGGACGTAAACCCACTTGAGTCAATTGTTCCAGAAGACTGTCCACTGACATCAATGGTCTCAGGCGTGCCTGACAACCCTGTCTCCCCAGAAGGGAAGCCACTGAATTCCACAGACCCTAAGCCTTCTTCTTCTCTCAGTGTAGTAGGTGTCACTTCGACCACACTGGTGTCCACAAAGGCAATGCCAGAAGATTCACCACTACCACTTGTGGCTCCAGAAACCAGGTCAGGGATTCTGTGTGTCGTCCCGCTGAATTCTGGCAGACCAGATGGCTGCCCACTGGGCTCTCCACTCAGATCAGTTATGCCGAATGGTGGACCACTCCCAAAAAGAACTCCAGATGCTTCTCCACTGAGATCCGGCTGTCCAGAGGACAATCCACTGACCTCGGTCACTCCAAATGCTTCCCCACTGGTGTCGGGGAACCCTGATGGCTGTCCTCTAACAATGAGTCCAGATGCCTCCCCGCCAACGTCAGCTTCACCACTAATATCAGCTCCACTGGTGCCCCCACTAACGTCCAGCTCACTGGAGGGAAGTCCAGATATTTCCCCTGCACCGCTGATGCCAATGGTCCCCCTCCCTTCCAGTTCACGTGCAGTGGTGGCTGTGACCACTTCCACCAATGGAGTATCTACCAGGGAGACAGTTGGGAACCCAGATGGAAGCCCACTAAAGTCAGGCAGGCCGGAGGAGGGGCCACTTCCCAGGTCGACCTCGGAGTACTCTCCACTATATCCCGAGGGAAGGCCACTTGTTTCTGGAATTTGCCCACTTCCTAGAGTTCCGCCAAAGTCCAAAGCTCCAGATGCAGATCCCACCAAGCCATCTTTTCCAGAAGACAACCCACTGAGGTCCCCAACTCCAGAAGTTAAGGTCTCTAGATCTTCCCTTCCAGGAGGGAGCCCACTGAGGTCCCCAACTCCTGAGGCAAAAGTCTCTGGAATCTCTCCTCCAGAAGGAAGCCCACTGAGGTCAGTCCCAACCCCTGAGGCAGATGTTTCTAGAATCTCTGCTCCAGAAGGAAGCCCACTGAGGTCAGTCCCAACCCCTGAGGCAGATGTTTCTAGAATCTCTGCTCCAGAAGGAAGCCCACTGAGGTCAGTCCCAACTCCTGAGGCAGATGTTTCTAGAATGTCTCCCCCAGAAGGAAGCCCACTGAGGTCAGTCCCAACTCCTGAGGCAAAAGTCTCTGGAATCTCTGCTCCAGAAGGAAGCCCACTGAGGTCAGTCCCAACTCCTGAGGCAAAAGTCTCTGGAATCTCTGCTCCAGAAGGAAGCCCACTGAGGTCAGTCCCAACTCCTGAGGCAGATGTTTCTAGAATCTCTGCTCCAGAAGGAAGCCCACTGAGGTCAGTCCCAACCCCTGAGGCAGATGTTTCTAGAATCTCTGCTCCAGAAGGAAGCCCACTGAGGTCAGTCCCAACTCCTGAGGCAGATGTTTCTGGAATCTCTGCCCCAGAAGGAAGCCCACTGAGGTCAGTCCCAACTCCTGAGGCAGATGTTTCTAGAATCTCTGCTCCAGAAGGAAGCCCACTGAGGTCAGTCCCAACCCCTGAAGCAGAAGTCTCTAGAATCTCTCCTCCAGAAGGAAGCCCACTGAGGTCAGTCCCAACCCCTGAGGCAGATGTTTCTAGAATCTCTGCTCCAGAAGGAAGCCCACTGAGGTCAGTCCCAACCCCTGAGGCAAAAGTCTCTGGAATCTCTGCTCCAGAAGGAAGCCCACTGAGGTCAGTCCCAACCCCTGAGGCAGATGTTTCTAGAATCTCTGCTCCAGAAGGAAGCCCACTGAGGTCAGTCCCAACTCCTGAGGCAAAAGTCTCTGGAATCTCTGCTCCAGAAGGAAGCCCACTGAGGTCAGTCCCAACCCCTGAGGCAGATGTTTCTAGAATCTCTGCTCCAGAAGGAAGCCCACTGAGGTCAGTCCCAACCCCTGAGGCAGATGTTTCTAGAATCTCTGCTCCAGAAGGAAGCCCACTGAGGTCAGTCCCAACCCCTGAGGCAGAAGTCTCTAGAATCTCTGCTCCAGAAGGAAGCCCACTGAGGTCAGTCCCAACCCCTGAGGCAGATGTTTCTAGAATCTCTGCTCCAGAAGGAAGCCCACTGAGGTCAGTCCCAACCCCTGAGGCAAAAGTCTCTGGAATCTCTGCTCCAGAAGGAAGCCCACTGAGGTCAGTCCCAACCCCTGAGGCAAAAGTCTCTAGAATCTCTCCTCCAGAAGGAAGCCCACTGAGGTCAGTCCCAACTCCTGAGGCAAAAGTCTCTGGAATCTCTCCTCCAGAAGGAAGCCCACTGAGGTCAGTCCCAACTCCTGAGGCAGATGTTTCTAGAATCTCTGCTCCAGAAGGAAGCCCACTGAGGTCAGTCCCAACCCCTGAGGCAGATGTTTCTAGAATCTCTGCTCCAGAAGGAAGCCCACTGAGGTCAGTCCCAACCCCTGAGGCAGAAGTCTCTGGAATCTCTGCCCCAGAAGGAAGCCCACTGAGGTCAGTCCCAACCCCTGAGGCAGAAGTCTCTGGAATCTCTGCCCCAGAGGTCACCCCACCAACCTCAGTAGAGCTGGACCACTGAATTCTGTCTTCATCACCTGAGGCCAGTCCACTTCCAATAGGCAGGCCTGATCCCACTGTGGGGGTGAGACTGCCAGAGTCCAGCTCTCCAGAGGGCAAGCCACTTGCACTGCCCCCCAGGGGCTGCCCAGTGGGGCCAAAGAGTCCCGAAGCTTCTCCACTGCTTGTGAGGTCGCCACTGATGTCGGGGGGCACAGATGTCACTCCAAGACCTGGCAGCTCAGTTTCCCTGGCCACCAGCGATGAGGGTGTGTACGGCCCCTCGGAGGCAGAAGGCATTGCGGCTGTGGAAAGACCTTCCGTGGTCCCCTCGGCTGCCGTGCCAGTGGGAGGCCACGTGGGAGGGATCCCTGAAAAACGGAAGAAGGAAGACCAGGTGTGCATTTGTTAACTCTGCCCCGTTTTAAGCTAATCTAAAGCAGCTGGACTCCATTCCTTCGACAGTAAAACTTCTCTCTCAGGTGCTCAGCTGTGTGTCGACTTGTTCTACTGGAACTGTGTAATGTCTTGGGAAGGCAGGGAGGGCAGAGGGGCTCCCCCAGGACCCTCAGGGCTGCAGGCTACATTGGCTGCGCCTGGTGAGGCTGGAGGTGGGGGCCTAGCTGCCACCTAGGACAACCAGGGCGACCCTCCAAGTCCTTCCACGCTATCGGATTTCCAAAGGGTGGGGCGGCTGAGAGAGAAGCAAATTCCCAGCCTGAGGCAGAAACTCTGCTGGGGCCAGGACCCCGTGTCCCCTCAAGTCCTCGGGTAATACTGGTGCCGGCCAGAGTGTGGGGACCCTGGATCTCAACCCATCCCTGTGAGGTGGGCAGTGGCAGGGGGTGCTGTTTGTAAACCATTCTGATGCCCTGTTACAGAAGACTTAAAAACAGAGGAAAAAGCAAGCCCCACCACTTTAAATAATCGCTGCTATGTGATCTTCTATCCGTCTTGCTTTCCTGGGCGTTTAACAATACCCAAGCTGAGTGTCGAACCTCGCATGTACCCTGGGCCTTATTTTCCCAGGTGAGCACCTGAGCACTGAGGTGTAGGGAGGGAAGAAGCCTGGAAAAGCACTTTTCACTTTGATCATGGAGTGCACCCACCACACGGGGTCTCCAGGAAGTTCACAGAAAATGCATATTATGAAAAAAAATTGTGTGTGAATTTCAAATACTTTGGCACCAGAAAAAAATTAACTTTTAATTCCATTTCCCCGCAAGCTTCAAAACTTCATTTATTTGTTTGTTTGAGAGGCAGAGAGACAGAAAGCACTCCTACTCACTGACGCACTCCCTGAACACCTGCGACGGCTGGGACTGGGCCAGGGCAGAAGCCGGAACCCAGAGAGTTAGTTCAGGTCTCCTGGTTGCAGGAAACCAAGTGCTTCAGCCATCACCTGCAGCCTCCCAGGTGCATATCAGCAGGAAGCTGGAATCGGAAGCAGAGCTGGGACCTGAATGCAGGCGCTCTGGGATGCAGGCACCACTGTGCCAGATGCCACCGCAACTCACTTGTTTTTAAAAATCAAGCCAATTTACAGCAGAAGATGTGGAGTGAACAGCACAGGTGGTTCCAGACACAGCTGCCGTCAGCCAGGCAGCCAGGAGCTGAGGGCTGTGGGGCTGTGGGAGCCCCGCCCCATGGGGAACTCCCTGAGGGTGGCTGCTGGCTCCTGCCACACCACAATCGCACTCCAAAGGGGAGTCTGTTATTCTTGTCCTGGGAGGGGTGAGAAAGGGCCTGGGCAGGTGTGGCAGTGGGTGAGGTAGCTGGGCCAGAGTCTCACCTGCTTAACAGATGCACCCTCACCTGGCACAGAGGAGCACCTGGCACAGCTGAAAAACCTGGGACCGAACTGGAGGGGAGCTCTCAGACCCTCCTGTCTTCAGATGCACGTGCACTCGGGGAGCTGACTGGCACACACACCACTGTGCCTTGCTTTCGTCCAGCCTGACCCAAACCGGGAGCCACAGAAGACAAAAAAGCTGCTGTGGTCAGGGCCGTTTGAGGCACCCTGCATGCACCCTCCCCTGGGAGACGTGCAGGGCACTTGGGCTTCTGTGAGGCTGAGACAGAGTCTGCAGAGGGCGATTCTGGTGACGTCAACGAGCAGCATTCCCCAGAGCTTGGTGGGAACAAAACACTTTCTCCAGCAAAGTCTGGGGATGCGGCTTTCACCATGTCGTGTCCCATCTGAGGCTCTGGATGGGGATGCCTGGCCCAGAAGAGTGACAGGAAGGAGGAGAAAGACGAGGAGCCCACAGACCACAGTCACCCCTCCTACACCTGCCCCCACCCTGGTTCTTCCCCTGTTGGGAGATCTCCATGCAAGAGAAGTTAAAGAGCATTAGAATAGGGTTGTCAGTGCTGGAGGAGAGACACAGAGGCTGGGTAACTGGATGTGTGTGCAGGAGGAACGAAGACCAGGCCCTAGAGGCCAGCAGAGGTCTCCCAGCTGGGTCAAGGCTGGGAAAAGCAAGCACAGGTCCCGGGAGAGAAACGACCCACCACCGGCAGACGGGGGCAAAGCCCAGCCACACCAACCTGGGAGCAGGGAGGTGCCCACTGGGCTGGAGGCTGCTTCCCATCCTGTCTGGTTTCCTGGCTCAGTGGCGAAGCTGGGGACTGCGGTTCTCTCCTCTGCCCTGGGGGTGGCAGCCACGCCAGGCCCCACCTGGGTGACAATCCAGTCCTCCAGGCCAGATGCAGGTGTGGCTGTGCCACCCTCCTCCGGCCCTGGGGAGGGTGCCTCTGAAGTACCTGAAAGGAGTGGGGAGGGGTGGGACTCAGATGGGCAGACCTGCCCCCTCCCAGCCCAGTGTGGGGCTCTCTGTCAGCAGTCAGGGTGGTGTTGCTCTGAGCGCTGTCTGTGTGCAAAGCGTTGTATCTCAGAACAGTCTCCCCCATGCCATAGGAGGGCAAACTGAGGCAGCGTAGCCCGCAGAAGCAGCAGGTGCCAGATTCCACACACTCAGCCAGTGCCCAAGGCCGCCTGTTCTGGACCAAGCCAGGGGTTCTCAGGCCATCATTTTGAGGGGTGATGTCAAGATTCAGTGGCAGGGTGACTGTGCTGGTCTCATGTCTCTGCAGAATAGCACCCAAGGGTGGGGAGTGGCAGGCGGTGGGAGGGGCACTGGGGCGAGCACCTCATCAGACCCCCTGGGGCAAACCCAGCTTCTCGAGGCTCAGCCAGAGGCACTGTTTTCTAAAACGAAAACTTCAGAGGTGACCCTGGGAGTCTCGGGGTTTTACTTCTTCAACTTTATTTGGAAATAATGACAGCTTCACAGGAAATCGCAGAAACACCGAGTGTGGGTATGAGATATACAATACAGCCCATGCCATGACTCCAACCTGTGTTCCGGGCAGCAGGCCTGGAATCTCCATGGACGCTGCTGTGAGAACCTATCCGGTCAGAGCCCAGCAACACATGGCCACACCCTGGCCATGCCCACTGCTGTGCGAGGACATCACTCTGAGCCGTGTGGCCACGCCCACTGTCGTGGACAGCTGCCTATCTTTAGCCTGGGTCAATCAACTCGACAGGTGCGTGAGCAGGGCTAGTGGATCTGAGCAACTCCTCCCAGCAGCATTTACGAGGAGAGAACCTGCACAGGAGCGCGGTGCTGACACCGTGCTCCCAGTTCATGCTGAGAGCGGCTCCCCCAGGCAGAGGAAGAGAGGCCCAGGCCCATGCCCAGGTCACACAGTCACTCAGATTCAGCTCTGTCCGAACCCGGCGCCCAGGTTCTCACCTCTCTCCCCAGCTCTGGACGACTTTGCCTTGTGGTCAGAGCCTTACAGTGCGCCAGGACGGGGAGCCCAGATGGCCACTCTGGGCAGAGGAGGACTCACCTCGGAAGCAGAAGGCGTGGTGCCGGGACAGTGGGTCCGGGAGGCCCGTCTGGTTGGGGTAGAGGTAGACGGTTCTCACACCGGGTTTATCCCCACCGCAGGCAGGCCGCGGGGTGACGATGGGGTAGCGGAGGCTGCCATCGGCCAGCCAGCCTGCATAGCACCTGTCCAGACCACGGCTCCACGCGGCATAGAGCTGGCCAGTGGAGGCCAGCGTGGCGTTGTGGGATTCACAGAACTCCAGTGCTTCCTGGAAGGTGAACTGCTCGAGGCGCGTGGCAAAGAACACCTCCCCTGGGGGCAGAGGCAGAAGTGAGGACCCTTGAGGGACGCCAGGGCAGAGCTCTTCTCCCCCGCCCAGGGGACAGGGCAGGGGGTGGAGGGGACCCTGGGAGGACGCTAGGGTACAGCTCCCCACTTCCCCAGGGGACAGGACAGGAGGTGGGGACGCTGGGGGGACACTAGGGCAGAGCTCCCCACTTCCCCAGGGGACAGGGCAGGAGATGGGGACCCTGGGGGAACACTAGAGCACAGCTCCCCACTTCCCCAGGGGACAGGGAAGGAGGTGGGGACGCTGGGGGGACACTAGGGCAGAGCTCCCCACTTCCCCAGGGGACAGGGCAGGAGGTGGAGGGGACCCTGGGGGGATGCTAGGGCACAGCTCCCCACTTCCCCAGGGGACAGGGCAGGAGGTGGGGACCCTGGGGGGATGCTAGGGCAGAGCTCCCCACTTCCCCAGGGGACAGGGCAGGAGGTGGAGGGGACCCTGGGAGGATGCTAGGGCAGAGCTCCCCACTTCCCCAGGGGACAGGGCAGGAGGTGGAGGGGACCCTGGGAGGATGCTAGGGCAGAGCTCCCCACTTCCCCAGGGGACAGGGCAGGAGGTGGAGGGGACCCTGGGAGGACACTAGGGCAGAGCTCCCCACTTCCCCAGGGGACAGGGCAGGAGGTGGAGGGGACCCTGCAGGCCAACACCAGGGCGCAGCTCCCCACTTCCCCAGGGGACGCTAGGAAACAGGTCCTGTAATCAGCTTCCCTCCTTCCCTCCTTTCTGGAGCTGCTAGTCACATCTGGGCACCTTCCAGACCCCAGGAACCTGCTCAGGCCCACACTCATCACAAGCACCGTGGGTGCTGTGGACCACCCCAACCCTCAGAACCAGTCCCATTCGATTTGGGGGAAGATGCTCACATCTACTGAGCACCTACTTGTGCCAGGAACTTTTCAGACAAATCTCACTGGATGCTCAAAAAGCCCCTGATGTGGACGTAAATGAGTCCATTTTCTGGGTGGGGAGCTGAGGCCCGAGGGCTGAGTGATCGTCAGGGCCCCAGCGTGAGTGAGGGCAAAGTTGAGATGTTTCCAGAACACCTACACTTCTAAAACGGGGTTCAGCAGAACAGCAATCTGGTGACTTCCACCAAAATTAAAAGGAATGAGACAAAATAAAGGTCTGTGGGGACACGTGCTTGGGCAGTGTCAACCAAGTTTCTGTGGCGGGACTCACGGTGACGGGAGGTGGAGTGGGGGCACCCCGGCCAGTGTGCAGGGCGTCTGGGGGCTCCTTTCTTACAGGTTCCCCTCCACCCAGACAAGTGTTGGAAGCACGGTGAGGGGGTCCCCCTGCCCCGGCATCGCTGCCCATCAAGGCCCCGTACCCTCGAGCCTGTCCACGTAGCAGTAGACATCGTAGGTTTCTGACGGTGGACGCACACCGTAGGTCCTGACCCCTGGGCTGCTGTCCTTGTCGCCCACACAGGGAGTCCGTGGGCTCACAATGGGGTATCTGCAAAGGAGTGGGGGAGGGGAGGATGAGGTCTATTCTGGATGCACTCGGACGTGGGCAGCATCTTCAGGGGTCTGACAGGGCTCAAACCAGCAAGGTGACCCTGAGCCGCTGGGGCACTGCCTGAGGGCCCCTGGGGGATCCTGGCTTCAGAAGGGAGCCTGCCACATCGAAGGGCCCCCGGTGATGCTGGGGAGGAACAGAGGTCTCTGGGGGAGGGGTCATGGCCGAGAGTTTCCCGTCCCCTTGTGTCCTGCGCTGTCCTCTTAGAAACGGCCTCAGTGTGGGGGGAGGTGTGGGAGGGGTCACGGGGGTGTTCAGTCGACAAGGCACTGGCTGCCTGCCGAGCGGGCGTGGGGCCGGGCTTGAGCCTGATGCTGGAGGGTTTGGGCAGAGGGAGGGGCCGGCCCACACCTCACCTGACGGTCTGGTCCTGCAGCCAGCCGGCATCACACTGCTCGTAGCCGGCCTCGTAGGCGGCCTGCAGCTGCTCCGCCGAGGCCATGGCCGCCCCCGTGCGCAGGCAGGCCTGCTGGGCCTCCTCGAAGGTCAGTGAGTAGCGGGTGGGCCCCGGGCGGTAGTGGAACACGACCCCTAGGTGGAGAAAGAGGAGGGGGTCAGGCTCAGGCACCCACCTGACTCAAAGCCTAGCTCCTCTGTTTGGACAGAACTCCCACATGGTGGTGGTGTCCACCCGTCTGTCTCAGGGCCGGGGACACCAGCAAGCCCTCGTCGAGACCACACCAAATGTCCTTCCTGGTCATGGATCTGGGTCTGGGCAGCAGCTGAACTCTGCCACTCTGGGACAGCCCAGTCCCCAGATACCCCCCAAGCGCTGGGAACACCGCCGTCCTTGGGCAGGGCTAGAACTGGCCGGCAAGCTTTGTGGGCCGTTTGGCTTCTGCTATGAGGATCTACTACAGCTTTCTAAGTTGGCCTGAGACAGCACATCCACACACGAGTGCCTTGTTCCAGAAAAACCCCTCTGTGGACACACGCATATTTCCACGTCCAACACTATCTTCTGTGGGCTGCACCCCAGTGCCGAAGGCGGCTCTGAATCCCCAGGCCACGCAACACCAGCTGGATTCGATTTACTGGCCTCGCCTTGCCAACCCTGGCCTGGAGAGCCAGAGCTGGAGTGGCTTCAGGGTCACCCAGCACAGCGGCTCTCTGTGGCTCCATTCTGTGGCAGTGTCCGGCAGGATCAGGCAAAGAGGCATGACGGCCCCAGCCCCGGTCACTCGGACCTCCACGGTCCCTAATCTGCCTGCCATTCCTGCCAGTCCCCGTAAGTGAGTTTTCAGGTAGCAAAGGATGTAGGCGTGGCTTGGGGGGCATGCTCTGTCTCATGGCTGGAGGGCAGGGCTTGTCCCAGGTCCCAGGTGAAGGTGGAGGCACAGCCAGCAGCCCCCCACCCTCCTGCTGTGGTATACCCCCCAAGGGGGAGGACTTACCCCCTGGCAAGCGTGGCTGTCCAGGGACCTCAGCCACACCAGGGGCAGCGGTCACCTGCACCACCAGGTCCGCGCTAGTGAAGGCCGTGGCGGAGCTTGGGCCAAGGGTGGCTTCGTCAGCAAAGCCACGGGGCCGGGTGGCCTCTTCAGTCCCGTTCTCCACCCCGGGGAAGGCGGTAGCCCCAACGCCAGGGGCGAACGTCTCCTCGGGCTGCGGCGCCGTGGGGGAGACGTCCAGCACCGGCTTCGCAGTGAGGACCACGCTGCCTCGGGCTTCGCCCTCAGTGATGTTCCGGGGCACAGGCAGCTCCACGTCAGGCCAGGTCACCGTCTGGACCGTGATGTCCTCCTCACCGCCCACTCCAAAGAAGTTTTCTGGGATGTCCATGAAATCTTCGCCTGGGAAAGGGCAGACGAGCTGCAGCCACTCGGCCTGGGGCTGCCCACGACCTGCCCTGCTTCAGTGCCCACAGGGGTGAGTCTGAAGAGCTGCAGGTGCAGGAGCCCCTTTGATAAACGCACAGCTCTGATGGGCTCTGGGTGACTGACATCCCGCATGCGAGGCCTGCTTGCACGGCGCTGCCTAGGGAATGGCTCTACCTGCTCAGTACAGACACAACATTTTCCCAACTCCTTTCCAACCACAGGTGGAATCCATGGGTTTGGAACCTGCAGCTACAGAGGGGCAGCTGAGTTCACGGCCAGGAACCCAAGCAGCGGGTGCCACCCAACATCCCTGCCCGGTCAGCACCAGCCCTCACGTCCCCTGTTTGTGGGCACCTTGCTGGCTACTGGAGGCCCCAGCTGTCCAATAAGACAATGTACGTCAGCTAGCAGGGAATCTGTAAAACCCTGCAGAAGACAGAGTGGGTGAAACTGATGACGGTGGCACTGGAGAACCGTCTGGCATAAACAGGCGGGCGATCGGCAAAGACAAAGCTCGTGAGCCTGACACTGCTTCCAAAGGCAGGTTAGAGCGCCGACACATGAGTAGAGGCTTCGGGGGAAACCCGACATTTCTTCTACCGCAGCCTCTTCCTGCAAAGGGGCCTGTCCAGGAGTTACCCGCTCCAGCAGGAAGCCTGGCACCTCCTCATCCACGTCACTCAGAGTCTTTTCCTCCAAGACTTAATTATAACCAAACTGTGTTAAGTATGAAATACCTACCTAAAAAACCTAGTCCGACTTCCCCATCGCCCTTCAGGCTGTCTCTAAGTGCAGCTTAGCAGGGGGGGCGGGGGGGAGGCGGGGGATGAGGCTCAGGGCCCAGCACTGGGGAAGCAGACTCGGACGCTCACAGTGCCATCCTGTGCTGATGCCCCGACAGGGGCAGGCGGTCTGCAGTCTCCCTGTCTCCCTTAGCTCCTGCGGGGAGCCAGGAAAAACGGAGCAGGAGCTACAGTCTCGAGGTGTAGGTGCCCAGAGGCCTCTGGAAGAGGCAAGGAACCAAAGCCTCCTTTCCAAGGTCCCGTCTTGCCCTGGGCCCCAGTGTGGATGGTGTGCACCCCTTCCTGCCGCCAGGCCCAGCCCCACCTGTGTAGCAGATGGCGTCGTAGCGGGACGAGGGGTCGGGGTAGCCGGTCTGGTTGGCGTGCACGTACACGGTCCTGACACCCAGGAGGTTTCCGCCGCAGTTGGGCCGGGCCTTGGAGATGGGGTAGCGCACACTGCGGTCAGCCAGCCAGCCGGCGCTGCACATGTCCATGCCGGCCTGCCAGGCCAGGTAGAGCTGGCCTGTGGTGGCCAGGCGGGCGCCCAGCCGCCGGCACTCACTGGCTGCCTCCTGGAAGGTGAACTTCTCTGGCGACGTTGCGTAAAAGACCTCACCTATGAGGGACAGAGTCAGCAGGTGAGGGTCTCCCACCCCCAGATCTTGCCTTCACCCTCCACACTCCACCCTGTCCTGGTGACACCAGTCGCCAAGGCTGGACACCAGGAAAGAAGCAGCCACAGGGAAGGAGGGGCACAGGTGGAGTGAAGTGGAGTGGGGAGCAGTGGCACAGTGACTCCAAGTCTGACGGGGCTGGCGGTACCGGCCACGGCGCAGTGAGACGCCAGTGCTGCTTTAAAGAATATGCCCACAAACCCAACAGGGAGTGCGCCAGGGAGGAGTGGGGGTGGAGGCACTGGCTCCTGAACACAGATCTGGGTGTCCCCATCTCCTGGTGCCTCTGACGGGTGGGTGGGGCCCTGGGTGAGGACACACAAGGGGCCGTGGTGTGAGCCACTTGTGCTTCTGCCCCCCGTGAGCCGCTTGTCAGCCACCTCCTGGGCCAGGGCTTCGAGGGCAGGGGGTGGGTTCTAGAACTGTCCCAAGAGACAAAGGCATGTGATGGGGAGGGGTTGTCCCCACAGGCCAGGGGAGCTCCCTGGCCACGGTCAGCATCCTTTACAAACCAGAGGACAAACTCAGGTTCCTCCCTGCTGCCCCCATTCTCTCCAAGGAACCGCAGCAGGCCCAGAGCAGACTGGGGACTGGCAACAGGAGGTCGAGAGCCCGCTGGCCTGGAGCTCACACATCTGATGAACCCACCCTGGAGCAGCCTCAGCGGGGATTAGCTGGGTTTTGGGCTGACAAGAGCAGCCAGGGTCCAGGCTGGAAGGGGCAGTCCCAGGGGAGAGACTTCCTGCTCCAGTGGTGACATGGCTGCAGCTGCTTGTGGGCCACCAAGACCCTCTCCAAGTGGACATGAGGGGTCCAGATGTGACGGCACCCCCCACCACACGGCAGTGCGATGTCGGGGCATCAGGCCTGAGTCCTGCCCAGAGGAGGCCCTGTGAGTGATCCTGGGTGTGGGTGCTGGGGCTGCTGGACAGAGCAGGGTGCCCCCTGAGGAGGCAGCCTCACCCTCCATCTCCTCTGCGAAGCAGTACACGTCATAGGTCTCGTTGGTGTCCCGGATGCCGTAGGTTCTCACGCCAGGGAACTCATCCTTGTCTCCGTAGCAGCCTTCCCGGGGTGTGTGGATGGGGTACCTGCCAGAAGCCCAGTGTGGGGTGACACCCAGAGTCTGGGGAGAGCCCGGGGTGTGTGCCCGGGGTGTGTGGATGGGGTACCCACCAGAAGCCCAGCGTGGGGTGACACCGAGTCAGAAGCCCAGTGTGGGGTGACACCGAGTCTGGGGAGCCGGGGAGCGTGCCCCATGTCCTGCCTCTCGTGGGAAGAAGCAGCGGCTCAGTGGAGCACCTGGCCGCCTGTCCTGCTGCTGGAGTTATGTGGGAGTAGAAGGCCCCCCAGGGCTGAGTATTTATTGGTACCAAACATGCTTTATCACGGTTCCACAAACCGTTCCTACAAGAGGCCAGAGGGTAAATGTTTGAGGTTTTGTTTTATAATGATGACCACTCTAGCAGGAAGCAGCCACAGAGCACATGTGGAAACTCTGGTAACTGCATGGGAAGTGCAACTAAAAGAGAAGCTCATTTTAGTGCAAACTTTTTGAAATCCATGCAAATGAATATCTTCAAAGTTTGTGGAAAATGCATATTATGAAAAAAACTGCATGGATTTCAAGATTATTTGTACCAAAATAAACTTGTCTTTTAATTCCATTTTTGACAGATGCTTTAAAGAATCCACATAAAAGCAAATGGGCCTCACTGCCTTCCAATAAAATTTGAGGTGGGTTAGATTTGGCTGTCAGGGCTACTGCTCAGTACTGTTGCCGTCTCTCACTGACCTGCTACAAGGATTGTGTTTCATACCGCAGGACACCGGGGTCCACAGACGGGGGACACCTGCTCAGTCACAGAGCTTCCAAGAGCCAGAGCTGGGGTTGGAGTCCAGCTCTCTCTGAGGCCCAGGGGCAGGTCCTGGGCCATACTCGACCACTGTCTCTGTTTTAAGTGAGTATTTCTGTGTCCCAGGATCTATCCCAGGGTCTATTCCAAGACTGCAGATGCTTCCCTGAGGCTCTGCTCACGGGTGCTGGCACCTGGGCGAGATCCCACCAGAGCCAGTCTCCAGGAGCCTTGCCTGCCCCATCCTCTGCAGGACCTAGAAGCTTAGTTTATATGTGTCTTGCCTTGTTAAACACAAAAAATAGATTTAAGATGGTCTACAAAATAGTGGATAACGGCAGAGCTAAAAACAAGCAGTGCAGGAACTGGCAGAGGGCAAACAGCCGCCAGCCGCTCCTCCCTCGCCAGAGAGCAGCATGGTTTGGGGAGGGTTGCAGGACCCTGGCCCCCAACTCCGGCTCCAGCTGAGCCACACTCAGCCCCTCCTCCTCCCCCCACCACACCCCCTGACCGGCAGGAAGCTCTCACCTGACAGTCTGATCAGCCAGCCAGCCGGCGTCGCACTGGTGGAAGCCATCCTCGTAGGCAGCCTGCAGCTGCTCCGGGGTGGCAATGATGGCGCTGTTCTGTAGACAGGCCCGCTGCGCCCTGTCGAAGTCCAGGGTGTATCGCGTGGAGATGGCCCGATAGTGGAACACAACACCTGGCAGCACAGGCGGCTGGTCAGGTACAGAGGCCTGGGGTTCCAGGGTCCCACAGTCACCGGGATCTCAGCACGTCTGCATGTGGTCCCGAGTTTGTTGGGACACCCCCAGCACTGAGACCTCACTGCCTCAACATGCGTTCAACCTGAGTCAGAGAGCTCTCGGGGAGCCGGTGTTCACACTGTGGTTACGCCGCCACGTGGGAAGCCGGCATCCCACACTGCAGTGCCTGGGTCCTGGCTTCACTCGTGACCTAGCACAGTAGGAGGCAGCAGGTACAACTCAAGTAGTTGGCCCTGCCATCCATGTGGGAGACCTGGAGAGAACTGCTGGCCTGGCTGCTGTGGACATCTGGAGGGTGAAACAGTGGATGGCAGCTTTCTCTGTGTCTCTGCTTGCCTGAGAGATAGATAATGATAGATGATAGATAGATAGATAGATAGATAGATAGATAGATAGATAGATAATGATAGATGATAGATAGATAGATGATAGACAGATGTCTATGTTATAAAAAAAAAGGAAAGAAATTTCTTTGAATTAAAATTAAATTTACTTTCTCATAATTTTTTTCTCATCATTCCAGAACCTCCTAGTTCTTTGAGGGAAGAGGCATTCAGAGCTCCAGGCACCCTCAGCCAGGGGGCACCTGGTGGAAACCCTGTGTAGGGCACACCCTGGAGTGGACCATCTTCAACTCCCCTGCGGAAAACCTGGTGCTGACAGTGTGGCAGCCAGACCAGGACTCAGCTGTTCTCTTGGGATCAGAGCAAGGCAAGGGTCTGGGGGAACTTCAGTCCCTTCCAGGGTTTCTGGGGGAGGGAGAGAAAGGATGGAGGAAGGGAGGAAGAGCCCCTGGGGATGGTGGCAAGGCCCCACTCTGAGTCATCTCCACGGCCACAGCAGGCAAGTTCCTTCCCCTCAGTTTTCGTGGTGTAACCACGGGACCCAATGAGCCACGGGGTTGCCGTGAAGTACAAAGGGCCAGAGAGAGCAAGGACAGCCACTGCAATGACAGAGGCCACAGCTGAAGTTCAGCCCTGTGACGGGGCACCACGGCTACCATGTGGGAATAGGGTGGGAGGGTGGGCTGAGGCTGCCCTTCTGGTTCCCTGCAGGTGAAGCGGCAGCCCTGTGGCAGGTGGGTCATGGCAGGTAGGTCCATGGCAGGTGGGCCCCATGGCAGGTGAACCCCGTGGCAGGTGGGCCCATGGCAGTGGCCCTGTGTCAGTGAGCCCGTGACAGTGGCCCTGTGGCAGTAGGCCCATGGCAGGTGAGCCCCATGGCAGGTGGTCCCTGGCAGGTGAGCCCCGTGGCAGGTGGGCCCATGGCAGTGGCCCTGTGGCAGTGGGCCCATGGCAGGTGAGCCCCGTGGCAGTGGCCCCGTGGCAGGTGAGCCCCATGGCAGGTGGGCCCCATGGCAGTGGCCCTGTGGCAGTGGGCCCACGGCAGGTGAGCCCTGTGGCAGTGGCCCTGTGGCAGGTGAGCCCCATGGCAGTGGCCCCATGGCAGGTGAGCCCCGTGGCAGTGGCCTCGTGGCAGTGGCCCCATGGCAGTGGCCCCATGGTAGTGGGCCTGTGCACGTCTCACCTTTCACCACCACCTCCAAGGTAGCCTCGCTGTCCTCAAGGCCGTGCATCACCTCACAGCGGTAGATCCCGGAGTCATTGGAGCGCAGGCTCTGGATCTCCAGGGTGGCGTCGCTGGGGATGGCCGGGTAGTTGGGCAGCGAGACCTTGTCCTGGTAGGCGCTGTTGATGCGCACACGTCCCTCGTTGGCCACCAGCAGCACCACCTCCTTGTCCTTGGAGATCCGGCTCCATTTGATTCTCGGGGTGAGGGGGGCCGTGGAGGGCGCGGTGGTTACGGGGTGCACGGGGTCGATGAAGTAGCAGGGGATGGTCAGCGAGGTCCCCAGGAGGGCCCGCACCGGGGACGGCTGGGGGATGCTCACACTCAATGCGTTGTCGAGGTCTGTGTGGAAGAGTGGGGGGACAGGCCTGTCAGCCCCAGACAGGGCCCAGGCATGGACTCCCCGAGGGACCACAACCCAAGCCAGGGTGTGGCTCCAGGGCGTCCGGGACACTGCCGGCCACCCAGAGCAGCACAGCTCAAGGCAGAAGCCAGGAGCGAGGCCAGGAGGGCGGTCAGGGCATGGTTGCCTCTGCTTCCTGAGCTGAGGTGCTCCAGGGGACGCCACACCCTAGGCAAAAGGGATCCATCTGATCAACTCAAAGATTTTGGGGAAAATTATTATCATTAGGTGTAAGAAAAAGCCTCACAACTTTAAAGCTAAGAACAAAACTCTCGGGGCACGTCCCCTTGGGGGAGACCACAGAAGGCTCTCGTCTGGCCTTGCAGGCCACAGACAGCTCCCCTTGCTGCTAACCCAGAGCTCCTGAGTGGAGAAGCCTTGGGAAGAATCGGAGATTTCATTCCAGAGTCCATGCACAGCAGGCTTGGGGTGGGACTGGCCGCCACGGAAAGGGGGCATGCGTGCTTGCAAATCCTGTGGCGCTGACATGTCTGCCCGGGGTGGAAGCAAACAGCTTTCCAAAAAACAGCACTTTCCATGGCAAGTCCCAGTCTACGGAACCCGTGCTGTTGAGAGGCGTCCAGCCCCTATCTCTGTGCTCCACAAACACCCCTCTGTGCACTGTGCAACACGGCTGGGCTCCTGCAGTGCGAGTCCCCGGGGTGCTGGCGTGACTGCAGTGCCCAGCTCAGCAGTTTTTAAAGCTCTGAGCCACCTGGAGACCTGCTTTGCCTGTGTGGGGAAACCACCCCAGGAGATGGCCAGGGCTGAATAAGGGTGGGCCCCAGGCAGCAGTGTGGATGGAGACCCACACCCACATTCTGCGTGTCTGCACACAGGAATGCGTAAGCCAGGCCTTCCTCTCCTGGGGGGAGCTGAGGCTGGAGGACCATGGCTGAGCAGGAGCCCTTACCAGGGAAATGCGTTCCACTTTGGGGCCAAGGCCGCCCTGGGCTCAGCAGAAAGCTCGTCCATTTGGCTCAGGGCTGGGTGATCCCATGCACGACAGCAGGCTGGGGGCTGCCAGGGGCGGGCTCTCTGATGGCCTCTTAGGCCACTCTCTCAGTCACACGTTCCAGGCCAGCCTCCCTGACAGCTTCTCCTCCTGGTTCACCTGTGTCCTGCCCCCAGCCCAGCTCTGGGTGACACCCACGCAGGAAGGGCCCTGGGAGGGAGGCCATCCACCAGGGCTGCCCCGTCTCCGTGGGAGCACAGGAGCAGGAGCAGGAGCTGGGTCACCTGGCGCGGCTACTGGATATGTGTGCGAGGGCAGGGGCCCCTCGGCGGGTTCCCTGGCTTCGACAGGGCAGGAGCAGTGCCAGGAACAGGTCAGGAAGGGGAGTCGCATCCCGGGAGCAGGGTCGCTGGGCTCCGCCCTCAGCACCGCCCATGCAGATGGGGCTCACCTGAGACGTCCCCAGAGATGGCTGCCGCGATGACTCTCAGAGCCACCAGGACCAAGAGCAGAGTGGTCATGGCTCACCTGGAATGGGAGATGGGGGTGTTATCTGCAGGGTCGCGAGTGGCATAGGAGTCACATTCCACACCCAGAGTTGGAGGTCACAGCCCACCAGGGGCTGCCTGGGCTGGGGACACATTCTCCCCCAGAGCCTTGGTGGCTTCTCCATTGAGGCAGGGGTCAGCTTGCTGACCTCACCCTAAGGAACTCTCACAGTGGCAGCTGGGTGTGGGGCCAGGCCTCGCTCTGGGTTTGCCTGTGGGGGTTTCTGGGTGGCACTGACACTCAGGGTCGAGTCCTGGTGTGAGCCCGGCCCCCTGAGAGAGACCTTCCTCCTGCCTGGTGGGCACTGCTGCTTCCTTGAGCTCCAGCTGAGACACAGCTCTTGTGGGGTCTGAAGCTCCTCAGCCGACAGCCGTCCGGGCCCCGAGAACTTTGCACGTGGACAAGACCTCCTCCACCCACTCTGCCAGCTGCTCACGGGAAGTCTCTCCTCTCTGGCGCACACAGAGCCCCATCTCCGGCTCTCCTCCCTGGCAAGCCTTCACAACACAGGCCCCCTCTTCCCAGCGACACCTGGGCCTTCCAGGGGTCTCGTCTGTCTTGGCAGGAACCACTTTGGGAGGGCTCAGGAGACCCAGCACTGCTGTGCCCACCCAAGGAGCTCAGGGTGGCTGTGGGCTGTGGCACAGCCCCCAGAGTGCTGCTGTGGATGCAAAGACTCCTGGTGTGTGAGAACGGCAAGGCTTCCTCACCGTCGGGACAACCAGAGGGTGAAGGGCAGCCCCCCACAGCTGGCCAGAGCCCACGCGGACCCAGCTGGATGCCCAAGCAACGGGCCAGAGCTGGGGCTCCCAGCCTTGGCTGCCATGGCAATCACACTTCGGCCTGGACCTCGGGGATTTTAACAGCATCACAGGAGGTGCTAATGTGTGGCCCACGTGAGCACAGCCACGGTGTGGACGCCGTCTGGGACTGGCATGGTCTCCAGTGGTGTCCATCCTGACGGCACCCAGGCAGAGCGGACTCCTGGGCTGAGAAGCCTTTGCCTCACAGAGGGCGGGGCCTTGGGGCGGGGGAATGAAGGGGCCCAGCAGGTGTCACTCTCAGCTCACCTCTGGGGGCTGGGGCTGGAGGGGTTTGGGGATGAGAGGAGCACCTGGGGGTAGGGGTGCAGGAGGGGGAGAGGGTGTATGGGCCCTTTCCTGCCTGCACCCGAGGTGCACACACTGGTGCCTCTGTGCACATGAGCTGAGACCACCAGGTTCCGGGCCCCCGCCCACCCTAGGGGTTCCCCACTCTGATGGACGTCTCTGGGGCTCCAGGTGCGGTGGAGCTGGTGTGGCAACCTGTGGTGGTCAGCTCCAGGCTGGGAGGGGTGTCAAGGTGTGGCCCTCTCCCCCAAGCCGCAGGGCTCAGACAAGGCCAGCCTGTGCCTCCCTCAGGCACCCTTTCTGGGATTTCTGTGTTTGTTTCTGCCCTCGCCCTCTGAACAAGCTGGACATTGTCTCAAAGCACAGGGTTCTCTGGGGCTTGGGTCTGGTTTTCTCCCTGGCTGAGACCAGGAAACAGGAAGTGATGAGAAAGGGGGTGGTGTGGGTGCACTGGGCAGAGACACTGATTCCATTTCTTCTGTTTTTAAGACAAACTTTGGGATAGAAATAGTGCAACAAACACGCGCCTGTGCTGTGTGTTCTCTGCTGTAAAGAAAACAGGGAGAAATTCCAGTCTGTCTGGGCTCCAAGAGTCTCCGGGACTCACTGAGTCTTTCATGAGTGGAGTCGGCTTTGCCAGCCCCAAGCCTGTCGGGCGGTAGGAGCTGGGGGCGGGGGAAGGAGGGCAAGGGGAGATAAGGAGGGAGCTGGGTGGAGACCAGGGGGCTGCGGGGGTCACCAGGGAGCCACTGCCTTAGGACAGAGGTGGAACAGGAAGTAGGTGTGCTGCTACTTGTTAAAAATGGGGGGGGGGGGGCGCGGCACCATGGTGCAGGTTAACCTTCAGCCTGTGGCACCATCCCATATGGGCGCCGGTTCTAGTCTGGGCTGCTCCTATTCTAATCCAGCTCTCTGCTGTGGCCTGGGAAAGCAGTAGAAGATGGCCCACGTCCTTGGGCCCCTGCACCCATGTGGGAGACCAGGAAGAAGCTCCTGGCTCCTGGCTTTGGATCGGCACAGCTCTGGCCATTGCAACCAATTGGAGAGTGAACCAGCAGACAGAAGACCTTTCTCTCTGTCTCTCCCTCTCACTCTGTAACTCTACCTCTCAAACAAATAAATAAAATCCTAAAAAAAAAAAAAAAGAGAGAGAGAGAGACGGACAGAAAGAGCTGCCATCTCCTGGTTCAGTCCCCAGTACCTGCAACAGCCAGGGCTGGGTCAGGCTGAAGCTGGGGGCCAGGAGCTCATCCCGGCCTTCCACGTGGGTGGCAGGGACCCGACTACAGAGCCCCAGCTGCTGCCTCCCAGGCGGGTGGAGCCAGGACTCAAACCCAGGCCCTTCACTATGGATGCAGGTAACGTAATCAAAAGGCCAAACACCCACCTCACATGCTAGTGCCCTTTACCTGAGCTGAGACTGTGTGTGTGTGACTGTGTGTATGTATGTGAGTGTGTGTATGTGTGTGTGCACATGTGTATGCGTGAGGGTATGTGTTTGTGTGCATGTGTGTATGAGTGTGTGTGCATGTGTATGAGTGGTGTGTGTACATGTGTGTGTCTATGAGTGTGCATGTTTGTGTGTGTTTGTGCATGTATATTTGTGTGTGCATGTGTACAAGTGTGTATGTGTGAGCGTGTATGAGTGGTGTGTGTGCATGTACATGTGAGTGTGTGTGTGTGTGTATGTATGTATGTGTATGAGTGTGTGTGTGAGTGCATGTTTGTGTGCGTGTGTGAGCGTGAGTGTGTATGTGCATGCTTGTGCATGTGTGAGTGTGTGTATGTGTGTGTTGTGAGTGTGTGACTTTCCCAGCTGGAGACAGGGAAATCTTTCACCTCTGAAAGCTGACATCGACGGTTGCCCACCTGGCCCTGATTCCATCGGATTGTGGGACACACCAGGCAGCTCACCCACCCACCCCAGTTCCTCTTCCAGCCACAATGAAGACCCTCAGACCCGAGCCCTGGTCCTGCTGCTGGCGACTGCCTGACAACACCAGACACCCACCCCAGAGCTCCTCAGAGCTGAGTGACAGGAGGCAGGCGTCCATCAATACCATTCTCCTCCCATCCACCTGCGCATGGGGCCCAAGGGAGCCTCTGTGGATGTGGGCCCTGGAAGAAGTCTCAGGGGCTGCACGGAGGCTTCCTGTCCCGGGATGAGGGGGGCTGGATGCCTACCCCAAAAGAGCAGAACAGCTCTCATTTCAAACACAGTGTCACCACACGGCCAGACACCTGGAAAACGGGAGGGCAGTGCCACACTTCTCGGTCACTGCGTCCCCACACTGGGGACCCCACTGCATTTTTGCTCCCCCAAAGCTACTGCTTATCACGCTTCACCACTACAGCCTCCCCCACCAAGGGCCCTGGTCCGCAGCCTCTGGTGGGCTGACAGGTGCTCAGGCCTCCCCTAGGGGGCTGTCGGGCTCCGGTCAGCTCCGCTGGGCTCCGGTCAGCTCCGGTGTACCCAGGATCTGCCCGTGGGGTTCAAATGAGCTGCCCCACTCACATCCCCATCACACAGAACATGCCTTTCCCCTCGTTGAACTCAAGGTGGACTGCAGGGATCCAACCTGTTCCTGCCTGCTGTTCAGAGATGTCCCTCCCCCAATGCTGTCAATCAACACTGGACCTCCCAAGAGCCACAGAAAGTCAGAGCTGTGATAAATCTCTGTGAACACCAAGCCCAGCTCCTCTGTCTGATGGTGAGGAACCTGAGGCCAAGCAGATTAAGGCTTTGTCCAGGACACACAGCGGGCTGAGGGGGAGCCAGAACAGAAGTCGGCTTCCCAGGTGCCCAGGGCCATCAGGGACGAGGGAGTGAACAAAGGGAGGCCCAAGGAAGGCCCAGCTCCAGGGGTGCTCAGACCACCCCGTCCCACGTCCAGAACTCAGCGGCAGAGGCACCATGGCCTTGCTGTCTGCATTAGTTAAACACGGCACCGCCATGCCGTGTGGTGTGCACCCAGAGAACAATCGGCGTCCGCCCTGCCCGGGGCTCCCAGAGAGCTCGCCTGTCACCAACTCTGTCAGTGACGTCACCCGGGCAGCTGGAAGCCGGTCCAGGTCGTGGAGGGGGTGCTGGTGCTGGCGGAGGTGAGAACTTTCTCATCCACAAAGAGAAAGGCTAGGGCAAGGAGAGGGGGCACTCCTCTCTTCCCGTCCACTCACTGCTGGGTCCACACATGTCTCAGGGGACATGGAGGCCAAGGCCATTTGCCAGCCCAGGGAACCAGGTCCCCCTCCCCAGCCCAGACTGGGCGCCACAGCCGAGTGGGCTCAGCAAACTGTGCTGGACACAGCGCCCTCCCAGCTCCCTGCCCTGCACACCCTCTGCTGCCCCATAGCTTCGCTGGGCCCTACCCTTGACCATGCTGCTTCTGCACCCACGTCCTTCTCTCGCTGTGCGACCTGGGCTACGATCTCAAGACTGAAAATCAAGCCTGAAAAACTTAAAGAAAAATTCCTTGGTATTAACTCAGAGTGCCAGCATCAGTCTAAAATGAGACTGACAATCCCCACTAGGAGTGAGTGGACGCTGGAATCTGGTAGCCTGGGAGACCAGTACAACTGACCCATTGGCCAAGGCCCCTCAACCCCGCCTCCAGCACAGCACAAATCTGCAGGCTGATCTCCCGGTGGTGCCCGATCCCGTCATTCGTGGCCTAGATCATGAGTGACATCGGTGCAACAAACGGCAGCCCGTGCACTTCAGCCTGGGGAAAAGGCCAGGGCCCCTCAGCCAGACCGACCTCGGGTGCAGCTGCTTCTCTCGTGAACACACGCTGTGGGTGGTGTGGGCGGGCAGCTGGGACGCTGGTCCCAGGCTTAGGGCCTCTGAAACTCCCTGGGGAACCCCGTGAG